ATATGCTCAATTGACGTTGTGAGATCTTTACGTCGTGATGAAAATGCATTTTTAGTAATTTCAATCTTTCTTATGTTTGCATATTTCCATTTTCTTGTTTTCATACATTCTTTCTTACCGTTAGACTGAATCACAGGTGTAACTGCTTTATAACCAGTTTTGTTTTTTTGCGCAGCATCCTCAACCTGAAATACCACTTTTACATTCGTTTTTTATATTGTTAATACAATGTGTATTTACGTAATGGTGAAAAAATAAAAAACTGATTACTTTCGACAACGCTAGATTAGCCACATTAGGCATTTAGTAATTTCTGTGATGAAATAACACATAAAAAAATTTCATGTTAACCAGTTTCACTTGCAATGAAAAAATATAAAAGTCCCTTAAGTTATTAAAATATTGATATTAGCAATGGATAGCTTTTCAATGTTTCGTTATTATCTTCATAAGTGATGAATATATATAAAACGAGTAACAAGGCCCATTGTGAAGTTTTCAATTTGATCTCCAAACAGCGTCTTGTAAATTAAAATTAGACTTGTTAGACAAATTAAATGATTTGTTTACATTTTCTTGGTTTCTAACTAATATAATTGTGTGTGATCTTTTCCTTTATAGCTAAGGTGATGCTTGTTTCTCTCTACTGCGCAAGCTGCGCACTGGCTTTAGTGCGTTTGAATTATTTATAATGTGCACTGTGTACATAAATAAATGTATCAGAATAATACTGAATAACTGAACAACAAGAATATCGGTCAGAGACCGAAGACTCATCGATTGACTGAAAAAAAAATAATAATTAATTAATACCTTGCTAATCAAAAATAATAATTAATTAAAACCTCGCTAAATATACGACATAATTAACCCAAAATCAATAGGCTTTTGGTCCGAGATATGATGCATGCACATGCAAAGTTTGGAGCAGATTCAACCTCGCGTTCTTGAAATATCTCGTTCATCTAACAGACGGACAGACAGACAAATTAAAATCGATAAGTAATAATAGTAAAACTACATGAATACGAAGTATTATTTTCTTCCTGAAAACAACATAATTCTTCCAAAGATTAGAAAATGCTGCACTAGCCAGTGGATGCTATTTTTGAGGATAAATCGGGGTGCACACGGTTTTTTGGACCAGGAGACAAAAAATTTGACCATTTAGACTGGTGGGCCATGTATACGGTAAGTGTGACGTAAAAGTTACATTTTATGAAAAATATTCACAGATTTACAAAAGCCTAAGTAAAATACAATGAGCCTCGTGACAAAACTAAATTTAATCGCAATCTTAACAAATTCTTTCTGCTATTTCATAGGTTAACATCAGAATTTGGTTTTAGTTTGGTTGTGGCAGCTTCAGGCGGGCCAATTTGAATTATCCATCGGGCCGGATTTCGCTTGCGGGTCGTAGTTTGTCCATGTCTGTGATAGATAGACAGTGTATGTTGAATGTAACCTTAACTCAGTGTTTCCCAACCCGAGTCCGCGGTCTCAAATGAGTCCGCAACGAGTCAGAAATGCGGGTGGCAAACGTTTTTGCGAAACTTAATTAACTATCAGGCAATTTAGGATTTGTGTTGGAATTTCAAAAAAAAAACATGAAAAGTCAGTTTATTCACATGACATTAATCGCGTTAATAATAACTAGTTACTGAGTAGGGCTGGGCATATATTCGAATATTCAACTATTAGAATAGCATATTTACTAATCGAAAATTTGGTAACATGTGACGCGACAGGTCACTTGCGAGTCGCTTAATCAAACGACCGGATTTCACAACTCACTTGTGGATTTCCAACGAAAACAAGAGTCTTTACACGCTTCGATAGATTCGTAATAGGTGTTTCTCGCGAGTTCGAACAACGAGGAATAAAAAAAATTTCTGGTAGGTGTGAATTGTGGCAACCCAAATTTCCTAAATTGAAAAGCGGTCCGCGACCGATTAAAAACGCTTTTTTAGACATTGCAAATCGCAAAATTTCGGGTGCTACCGTAGTATACGCACCAGGGCATTTTCCTTTAGGATTCTTTGCTTTACTGCCTCCAGATTGGTACACACAGTAGTAATGTCCAATTCACACAGATTTGTCGAATTCACAAAAATACAAGCCAAAACAAGATATAATCGGGCACTCTACCACACATTTTTGTGTCCAGGGATTGTCATGATATTTTCTGAGTAGTATTGCTCTTAATTCGTCAACACAACTGCACATTAAAAGAATCACACATGGAGATGGATTGAATAGTTTATGCAACAGAAAAAATCATTGAAAAGTCGGCTCTTTTAACGAGTGACGTATACGCGACGATTACTTCAGAAGTTGTTCACGAGAATTTCAAGGCGATGAATATGTATTCGTGATTTACTACCTATACTTCAAATATATTTTTAATAAATACTAAATTAAGTTGTACATTATGGAAATTTATAGCAGATAGTATGATTTTTTCTAACAGCAATAACGAATTCGCAAGATAGCAAAAAATATATATCAAAGCTGAATAGGCAATATATTCTTTCATTATTATGTTCGCAGATGGCACTGGAATTTAAAAAAAGTAATGCTTTCATCTTGTCGTAAGTCGACGCAACCGCGAGTTACCATGATGAACACAATTAAATTAAAATAGAAATACATTTTAAATTCTCGTCGTTGTCATGGAATGAATACTGTGCGACAGAAAAATCCATTATACACCAAAAATGTTGACTCTTTTAACATACGCGTAATTGCGGCGAATTTCCGATTTTGAAATTCGTTGTGTTTGGTATTTCTGTTGTGTTTGGTTTTATTGCTGCTTTTCACAGAGTAGAGTACGGTTGCAATAAACGCACCTTAAGTCCGCAAAGATTTTCGCCGGTGAGAAAATAGTCCGCGACCAAAAAAGGTTGGAAAACGCTGCCTTATCTAAACGCTTGGAATAAACTTTATTTCCCCCTGCGATCTGAAAGAGTTTGTGATACACAGAACCTATGCCATATTATTTGTTAAGAGTAGAACAAGATGGCAAAGGTATTTACCAATTAATGATCGTTTCACTTACGAGACATGCGTATGTATATGTATAATTTATTGTAACTTGTATACGTATTCTGCATGCACTACAGAGTTGGAAGAAAACAAGCTAGAAATTTTTTCAACTTGTAAATTGAGTTGATTTTTAGTTGATCACACTCCACAGCACTGTTCATTGTATATATTTATTAGCGAAACCGTGTATTCGTTTAAAGCAGGTTTCTCAACCAAATTTACATTTAACCTAGAGCTAACATAATAGAAAATGGTTATCTGCTAGATACCAGATCGTAATGTCCTCTTTTGCTAAATAGATATCAAAAAACTGTCGAATTGTTGAAATAAACTTATACTTATATACTATTACTTATACAATCTCCTTGCTTATAGACTGTGTTTAGTCTGGTGCCACTTCTCCCATATTTTACTTACAGCACACATGAAATAACCAGTCAGCACAGTCGATGGGTAAATTTTACCCTCCAAATTTTCTAAATTAAGGTTGAGAACCTCTGACTTAAAGAAATCTGTGTTGAGTTTCCAATGCAAGCATATTACCAAATGCCTATTTGTCAACATATGAGAAATATTTTGGGCTCTCCCATAGTATGTGAACCAAGATGGCGGACACCGGAACATAGTATGTGTACCAGGTTAGGGTTAGGCCATAATTTGATTCCAATTTTTCTTATTTTAGTTCCATTACAAGTTTGAGCACTAGCCAAGTGACTCTCGTAGTATTTGTACCTGAAATTATGGCCTAACCCTAACCTGATACAAATACTATGTTCAGGTTTCCACCATCTTGGTTTACATACTACGGTAACAGGAGTACCATATATTGACAGCTTCTTCTTAAAATTTTAATTCTTTTCATTTGATTTTTGGTTTATTCTGTTTTAGGCTGTGGAATCAAGATATCTAAATTTCCTTTTATTGTAATTACTGTGTTATGGTCATGTTACCCTGAAGCCATTTTAGGTGTTGCTATAATCCGATTTTTAAATTAGGCCCTGTTTAAGAAATTGGTACTCCTGTAGTGTGTGTACCTGGTTAGGGTTAGGCCACAACTTTAATCCGAATTTTCTTATTTTAGTCCTTTTACGAGTTCGGGGACTGTCTGTGTTAACTAAGTGCATATACCCCATGCCCATAGATTTCGGTCCCTTTACGCAACTCGATGTAAAGTAGGCGAACAAATTTAGTTACCTTCATATCTGTACACATATCTTTGGAGCGCCAAGAAATTTACAGAAATCATTTTGTGCTGTTGGATATTAAATTTGATAATGCAGAATAGTTTTAGCAGGGGTAGGGTACCCGGTGTCTGGGCCAAATGTGCACACTGGCGATAGGGTGTGGGGCACATCAAGCTCCACCTTTAAACAATTGTCAATTTATAATCTTCAAATTATGAATCACTCGCATATTTTTGCGCTATCCACAACTAACTATGGGTATGTTCTGCAAGTAATCGACATACAATTGTCATGGGCTTTTGCTCCTGCTAATTACTACCCTGTTTCCCCGAAATTTATTTCTATTTTCTTCCGAATGGGATGACTGATTATTTTCAGGGGAACACGGTATAAAACAAATGTTGTACAATAGCCATGACATACATCCATGCTCAGATAATCATAATTGATGATAAATTTTGTCCATGCATTTAAATCGAGGGCCACAAAATGTTATTTATGTGTTGCATTTGGTCCATGAGCCGCAGTTTTTTTACCTTTAGTTCAGATAAATATTTTTATGTAATATTTTTAAACTTTCAGTGTCAGAAGTTATATGGAGTCGTGTCCATTACATGTTATGTACTTTAATTATCTGATTTTTCGTTTGAAAGATTCTAAATTTCCTTCACAATTTAATATTCACTGTATTGAATATGACCAATCTCAAATGCATTCAAATAACTCTAATTTTTTCTGTTTACATGCATAGAAAATATTTTGTATTCATCATTGAAATTGTGAAACAATGTGATTATGCTGTTAGATTTTCAAAACAATACTGTGGCGAAGAATTCGTCATTATTTTTTCACAAATTGAAAGGTTATGCAAGAGATGCTGCTGTTATAAAAGAGAAAGTGGTCGGAGATGTGAAAGAGGTGTTATTGCCTATAAAGAATATGCTAAATGTCGAGAAGGTTGTGAATGTTGTAACCAACCCATCGTCATACAGAGAAATAGGGACAAATCCTTCAGAGTTTAAAAGAGCAGTCCATGGTGTGTCCGCATATCATTCTGGATCTGGCTTGCAAAATAGTTTGAATAAGTTTGCGGATGTGGGTCCATACACGACTGAAACACCGAATTCGCAGGAAATCGTGAGATGCCCTACATCAGATATTGGCTTCACCAATTCTGCAAGTGGATCGGATGAGGGTGAAAATCGAATAAAAAATGAGCCGATTGAAAGTTATGCTTGGCATGACTGTCATCCATATGAAAATGAGTGGAGAACAGATTCTCCAGGCAATGTAATAAACAGACAAATAATGAAGGATGTCCCAAGTTCCACGTTGCATTCATTCACAATTGGTGAAAAATCTGACCAGGATGTGTTTCATGATGCTTTTACTTGCATCAATGTTCAAGATACCCATATCAGAAAGTGCACTGCAAGTACTTGCAAATTCTCTTTTCCGAATGAAGACAGTATTATTAATTTTGGCTCTGCCGAAGATTTCGAAACCAACAAACTGATGGGAATTATGGATCACCGCCAAATTATAAGAAGTAGAAAATCGTTCAAAGATCAACTTGAACCTTCACATCTTCATGAGGTCTTCATGAAACCAGATGCAAGACATTTTATTGAACCCAATGCAGAAATCAACAAAACTTTTGGGGAAGAAGATGATGTCAAAGAATCTTTCAAGGACAAAATGAATAATCTGTTTCAGACTGTACAAATGTCATGGCTGGTTAATAAACATGACTATGAAGAGAATAGGTGTTCCCGAGAAATGAATGCAAGTGACAAATTGCGTCATTCAAATATGTTTCCTCGCCATATTTTCTTGCTTGAGTTTCTGCTCAACTCTATCTATTTTGATGAGAAATTAAACCAGGAATTTGTAGCTGAATGCATTTCTAAAATAAAGCATTCATGGGAGCCGTCACAAAAAGCAAGAAAAAGATGTAACCCGTTGTCTTGTGACGAAGACACATTTGACATAGTAAGTGAGAAGAAATCTACCGTTAGAAAATACCTTTGGATCAAAGAATGTTATACTGGTAGTGTAGATGAAGCTTCGTTTGTCGTCCTTCTTTTTATCTTGAGGGAAATTCGCAAACAAAAACAAGCGTTAGCAGCTCATTACATGGTTCTAACTTTTAAAGAATGTAATGTGGTGAATTGCCAAGGATTTCACAAAGTATTTGAATGTGAAAATTGTGCTGATCTTGTCAAAAAGATTAATCTGTTTCTTTTGACTGTACGAAATGCGTACGAAAAACAAAAGCGCGCACGAGGGCAAGATCTGATGAAAAAATGTATGTTATGTACTGAATCTAATCAACTAGCTTGTCAAAAAAAATTTGAAGAAAATGTGAATGAGACTGGAGAAAACCTCGTAGATCTTGAAGATGCAAACGACAATAGTAGTCTAATGGAGGCCGCTCCAGAGTCGAAACACAAAGACGTGGTTATAACTACAACAACCAAATTTTTGACAACTTGTGGTGCAAAAAGTTTTTATAGACAAGGTCTTACTCTAACACAAGGAATCTGTCCAAGTTTGGAAAAGGCAGATTTACTGATTTCTGCATTAAAAAACTATCGGTTCACCTTTTGGAGACATACTTTGACAGAACAACTAATGAACAAGGATGAAAAAAGTGGTGTTTTTCATGGCTGTGATGAATCTAAGCAATTACTTTGCCAAAAAGATGAAAAATATTTTCAAGGAAACTTTGGTAAAACTGAGGAAAATAATGTTGATTTATATCCGGACATCAAAACTGAGGGTGGAAAAACAAAGAAGTCTTCAATTGTGAAAAATCATGATCAAGAAGTAGAACAAACTACTTTTTCTCGTCAAAATCAAGAAACATGTTACATATCAAGTTTCGCCTCTGATGAAAGAAATGTAATAGTAACATGGGCACCTCCAAAAGAGCGTCATTACTATTCAATCAAGATCTACAAAGCACGCCCTTTTCAAGTTTTGCAAGACATCGATAATATAGTGGATTCGAAAGTAGACCGTTTGGGAAAGAAAACTTTGAGAATTTCATTCAAACACAATAGAGGGGTGAAGCCTTATCAATTTGATATACTAGGCGATCAGCAAGGAAAGAAAATTTTTTTATTTTCACATATCAAAAATGGAAATGAAAATCAGGGTGAGTCTATGCTCTCTGAGAATATCTACAGCGGATTTCAACTGCATGCTTGTCAAGAAAAAGCAATATTTGGCTCCCTAAACCTGGCCAGAAATGGAAGCCTTATCAGGATTAACCAATCTAAATTGGATTCAGGAAACACAGCTTTTGGAAGATTGGTCGAAATTAAAAATATCAAATTAGAATGCTCAAATCTTCAGAAGAGCGATTTATTGAGATTTATTGATTATTTCAAATGTAATGATGAAAAGCACTTTTCATTAAAGTTTTGGATTAATGTGGAGGTGGTATCTCATCAAGAAGAATGTAGAGAATACGCACATGATGAACATGACCTTTCTGCATTTCAAACGTCAATGTGGAAAATTGTAAAAATTTTCCTTTCCAGCTCTACTGATTATGGCATTGCAGTGACCATTTTTCGCTCTTATTCAGTAGTCAAGTTTGGAGAACATGAAGTTGTTCTGAAGCCTAAACAAGGTGGACGTCAAATCATTCTTAAGAATGAAAGCATTTTAAAGATAGCTCTGATCAATTCGGACAAAAAGGCAGTCACTAACGGATCTGAATCTAATACTCAACTCCCAGAAATAGTCTTAGAAATCTCTTTGAAGTGGTCCGACTTTAAGAATCTGGACATATTTACAAGAGGCCAAGAATTAGTGACATACTCAACAGAAGCGCGTTATGCTTTACCCTTGATGAGCGAACAGCCTGGCCGTTTCGGTGAACCAACGTTCCATCAGTTTGATGAGTCAGACGGGTCTTTTGGAAACTTCAATACTAATGAAGTTACTTTGCCGAATCGCTGGAATAAAGTTTTCAGAAAAGCCTGTTTGAAAGAGATCAGTCAACATGACGCAGATAAAATTAAGCCTGTTCTCGGTTTCCAAACTGCAGTCGAAAGAATCTTAGTATTCCATGAACAACAAGAAGGGATCAAAAATGGCGTCCCTCCAACGGAAAATTATCAGAATTTTGGTAATTCTTGTTTATCATTTTAAAAAATGTTTTTCCGAGTTTAAAGTCTAGGTAATTTGAGCTTTTTTCCTCATTCTAAAATCTAAATCCTCACTGAGGTTCTTCTCAACCCTGGCGTGTTGTCTCTCTCTATTGCAATTGCCTTCCTATTTAAATTTGTTGGGCTATATTGATGCATGGACTTGATTTCTCTCGGAAGTTTTATTTCTCGGCCAAGCAATGTCGATAATGCGGCCTAACCATCTATCGAATCACCAGTCCGCATATCTAGCAATCACCACATGCTTTTTTAGGCGCTCCGGAAGTATTCGTACCAAGATGACGCACAACCTGAACCCTAACCTGGTACACATACTATGTTCAGGTTGTGCGCCATCTTGGTACGAATACTTCGGGACCACCCGAACCTTTGAACTTGGCTTTTTATAGTTGCTAATTGCTATCTATGACAACTTTCTTCAATATAGAATACATTATTAAATAATGACTTCACTGCTTAATACATTTATTATACATCACTCACAGAATTGCGCAGAAGAACTTTTCTTTCGAATGATGATACTAAATCTTGTGCAGAAAATTTAGCAAGAGCTGGCTTCTATCTCAACCAGAATGAAGTACTGACTTGTTTCAGGTATGTAGACTATACAAGTCTGTGATTTTTATTAGTGAAAGTTCTTAGGTCTCCCACACTAAATAAGATTTTGTGTGATTACTCACTACAAGGAACCCATATCTTTATGAGGAATAGATTCGTTCCTTTGGCATTGTGTACCCAGTTTATTATACCCTGGGCAAAGTGGAGGGCAACAAATTTGCCCCAGCCATGATAACAAGTCTGTTGCCCAACCAAGCTTATGTTAGAGATGATTACAGAAAGTGATACAATTAACATAATTACACATACAATTAATTATAAATACAATTACAATTAACATTCTGATTTATTACAGAAAGTGATACAATTAAAAAATAAATACTGATGCTGAGAGGATTTTCGAAGACTCTAAGCATCTAAATAAAAATTGATGTTTAAATATATGGATCAAAGACTAAAACGAAGCAGCAGTCTACTGTATTGTATGGTTAAAATTATTTACCACGACGAATACTTTTAATTCATTTTGAAGGGGTCATCACACAAATTTTGGAATAATGAACGAATCACATGGAGCTCACAGGAAGTTTTGAAATAAATAAAAGTAATAGCCTTCAAGCGAAAAAAACGCAAGAGCTACAAAAAATAATAACAAAATCGATTCACATGTACACCTCATGTCCAATATCTCATACTCTACTAACATTCAGGGAGACTTGACTCAGTGATTAACCTGGACTCGATTTGAGACTTCGATGACCCGTGACCCAACTTGACTTCTGGTTTGATGACCCCTACCTTCTATGCATGCCTAATGTCTTCAACATATTATACCCTGATGTAGTTGTTCTATATAAGAAATTTAAAATGTCAGCAAATTACATCATTCTCTTGACTGTATATATCTTCAACAAGACTTGTCAAATGTCCAGACTGTTATTTCATAGAAACCCACAAACCATTGGTTTTCAAATGATAGGACAGCCCCACACGTGGTGTAGAGAAATTTTGAGGGGGGGTGAAACTAATTAAAAATAAAAATATTTGATCTTGATCGCTTCATTTTGGATGTATACGTTTCTGTATTTTTGGTAATTACGTTCCATCCGTTTTATGTTTTATTTTGAATGAAACATACTTTCGCCATACTATCTGTTATTTGTCGCTTATTGTTAGATAATTATTTTTTCTAAAAATGTGGGCTCAAAAATTTGGAGAACCACTGCCTAAAACAAATACTTTCCAAGTAAAAATACCTCAAAAATATATTTTGCAGCTGTGGAAGCGCTTCTCAGCTGACTCAAGAAATTAGAAGAAATGCTTTCGATTTCAAACTTCACCATCCAGATTGTCTTCACATACAAAGATTCAGGTAAATTATGAATTTTTTTTTAATTTTTTTTTACTAGAAACCAAACTGCAGTGACTGATTTCTTTACCCCACCTCCCTGGGTGACCACCCCCCCTCCCACCTAAAATTTCAAACACCTTGCCCCTCCCCTCCCTAATTTTGAGTTGTGATACCACACGGTAATTTGTAACTTAAGTACAATTGTATTTAAATATACAGAATATGGCATATTTATCAGTGTAGATCGGCAGTCAAATACCTAAATCTCGAGCACCCTAAATCCCTAAATCTCGAGCACCCCCTGAAATGAAAAGCTACGGAACATACTGAGCTAGTAGGGCTTGAGGCAAGCTTACCATAATTGATAGAGTGAGGTATATGGTTAATACTAGGGATACCCAAAACGAATCAAATGTTCGAATACATTCGAAAATCGTTATATTTGATGGAATGAACTTTTAAATTTAGGAAAAATTTGGAATACTTAAAATACTCCAAATTTAAAAATTAGAAATTTTGATCCGCCAGACGAGCAGATCAAAACGTATAATATATCTAATCTGGTAACAAACAACACGAAAAGCAAACAATAACTTTATGTTTATGTTGGTCGGTTTAGTTATGATCAACATGAATTTATGGCGGGTTAAGTAATTTTCCACACAGATTTGCCCCAAATTTGGTATGTACCGGTACCCAATATTCCATATTCAAATATAAGTATTTATTACTTGGTAAAATTTGATTATCAAGTAGGATTTTTTTGTGTTTTTGATGCTTTAGCGGGCTGCACGAAGACTCTGTGGCCCGTGAGCTGCAGTTCGCCCATCCATGTATTAGGGTATTCAAACCCATGTTGATACTAAGGTAAAACCACTAGTGTACATGTATTGAATAGATTTTGCATTCGACCGAAGTCCCAATTCATTAAATTTAATTGAGTTCCCAAACTCAAATCAAGGTGAGTCAGAGGTCATCAATTTAGCGATTCATGCCACAAATCTGACCACAACACATGAAATCGCATGATAAAGCTAGCACCGAAATTTATAAATGTTGAAAATTTGCCTCCAAATTCTCCTTTATCCAGTATTTTAGTAAAATTAATTCCAAAACTCATTCAAAAATGCTACAATGTTTATGTTACCGATTAACGTTGTTATATTATTTTTCCCTATTCATCTCAGGCCTTAGTCCTATGACTGCCTCGTTTCTGGAGTGTTCGCACACCGGACTTTTGAGCGTCTCCCCACTGCCTCAGGATGATTCAAATAACCAACAGTTGATTACAGCTTCCTCCCCCATTTAGTCTATGCCTCTGAGATGAATACTTGGCTAAGTAATCCAATACCCAATATGTATCGGTACCCAAATGAAATGCTGTTGTCGTTCATCATATGAATATACTTATTGGCCTTTCTCTTCATCGGGATAAATATGATAATAATCCTGGTTCTTCCGAATTGATTTGTTATTGTTTACAATGTTCCATGCTCGACATAAATAAATTATCTAAATCTAATGACTCAAGTCGCTTGAGTCTTTCATAAATGGGTACCCTATCTAACACTACTAGATAGTAAATGAGGTTTTGATGGATCTCTGGGTGTTGGGAGTAAAACCCTCGTGCCCACCACCTCAGCCAGAGCGTGATTAATTGAGTAGGCGATGCTGAACAGGAAAGATTCCATTCTTTTTATCTATCAGTTTCTGATTGTCCAGAGCCTTATGTCAAGCTACATAATATAAAATACCTCATAAAATTAACCATTAAAATCAGATGCAAAAACCTGCTCCACCCAGTTCATTCTAGTTATCATTTACCAGTTGTGCAATAACAAATCCTTCTTCTATACTTGTGGCTCCTTGTCACCATCTTGTGATATGTCCGTTTCTCCTCACATCTGTAGTTGGTACATTGCGCCATAATTTGACACCAGGGGTTTTCCCTTTTATCGTACTTTCAGGGCATGTCCGACCATCCAGATTTATTTGATACTTGTTTACCACATGAGTTATTCTGACAGATGTCATCAATTTATTGACAGACATTGTTAGAAAAGCTGTTTTTCTGAAAGCGGTCTAAGTATAGAAGCTAAATCATAACAAGATAAGAACTAACTGTACCTGGTATTTATATATACAGATATACCTATAACATATAATGCAATTGATGAAAATCACATATTAGTATTGCAAAAAGCTTATGTAATATAGTTCAGTCTAAACTAGGGTGGGCAAAGTTTTTGAACCAGTGGCCAAAAAAAGAAACATATATATAATATATGTGACGCAAAAGGTTACAGCCAAATGTAAAAGGTTAAAGCCATGTGCCAAAACTAAATTTAATGGCTATCTCGACAAATTCCTTGAGGAATTTTTCAGCTAAAACATCAAATTTTTGCTTTAGTTTGGTTGTGACAGCATCAGTCAGGCCAGATTGAATTACCCATCTGGCCAGATTTGGCCCGTGGGTTGTAGTTTGCTCATGTCAGGTCTAGACTCTAAAATGGAGAGGTTTCACTTTAAGCCATCTGTTTACCTGACAGTATTGAGTTGAATTGTTGCGAGTCTCGTGTTTCGTCAGTGGCGTATCTACGGAATATGGTGCCCATGGCAAAGTATAAAAATGTCCCCCTGGATCATTGGTTGACAATTTTTAACGATTATTGTTGAAATGAAAATTGAATACTTGTACAATATTATTTAAGTAAAAATACGGGTTGAAATGATTCCGAATTTGAATTTATTTTATTGAAACATTTTAATTTTGCGTCCCTTTCTAAACGGCGCCCAGGTCACGAGCCATGGCTGCCATACCCTAGATACGGCACTGGTTACTGTGTTAGCCTGCTTGCGGTTGCATCTCAGTTGCAAAGATAAACCCTATGTATATAGTCTTAGTGCTCTTGTATATCATTTTCCACTTTTAGTTAATAGAATGAGGAACTTGCTATGAGCATACTTTTATAAAAATTCAGATACCCCCTATGCAGCAATGCGCAAGTTTACTTCTTAAGGGTAAAGCAGGAAAGCCTAAATGTGATTTTGTTCAAGATATGACTTTATGAATATTCCATTTTAGAATTTTTAAAATAATATTAAATCGAAGTTATATTTACTGGTCAATGACTTCTATGCATCAGAGCCAAGGTGACAACCTTTTATTTTCTTTGTATTTAGTATTTCATATTTACAACACCTTTCGATCTAGAATCTCTACGTTTCAATCCTCGCATAATGTTTTGTTCGCTTTCCTGATTCTATAATCAGTTTTATCAATTATTTCATTGCCTTTCACACTGATTATGGAGTTCTTAAACTTATCCTTTTACATTTTTGAGAATCCTAATAGATTTTTTAATGTTTGACATGAAAAATTTTTTCTGAAATTTTTTACCATTAAAATTGAACTTTGGATTAAAGAGATAGCAGGAGTTTATAAACCCAACAATTTTTCTACTTGGGTTAAAATATACTTGGTTCGGAAAAGGAAATTTTTCCATATCCAATATATAATTTGGATCCCGCACTAAAGATAGCACCTAATTTATAAATTAGGAAAATTTGGCCGTCAAATTTACCTTGATTTTGTATTTGTTCGAAATTAATCCCATAACTCTTTCTAAAATGTTTCAATGTTTATATTATCGAATAATGTTGTGTTGTCACTCATCTCATTATTTTTTCAATATTCAGCTTAGCTTTTAGTCCTATGTCTGCCTCTATTCTGGAGTGTTCGCACACCAGTCTTAAGCGTCAACCACTACGGTATTATTTTGAATCTTTTCTGATTCGGCAAAGATAATTCTTTCAGTCATTGGTGAAAGGCCTTTGAGCCTCATTGCCAGTATTATGTGTTCTAATGCATGAACACGAGTAGCGGATTAGCAGGTTTAAATGTTATGCCGATAATTATTCATGAAAGGGATGCTGGACTCCCCACTGCCTCAGGATGATTCAAATAACCAGCAGTTGATTACGGCTTCCTCCACCATTTAGTCCATGCCTCTGAAATGAATACTTGGCTAAGTAATCCAATACCCAATATGTATCGGTACCCAAATGAGATGCTGTCGTTCACCATATGAATATTCTTATTGACCTTTCTCTTCATCGGGATAAATATGATACCGGTAATCCTGGTTCTTCCGAATTGATTTGTTATGGTTTACAATGTTCCATGCTCGACATAAATAAATTATCTAAATCTAATGACTCAAGCCGCTTGAGTCTTTCATAAATGGGGACCTCCCTCGTGCCCACCACCTCACCCAGGGCGTGATTAATTGAGTAGGCGATGCTGAACAGGAAAGATTCCATTCTTTTCATCTATCAGTTTCTGCTTGTTCAGAGCCTTATGTCAAGCTACATAATATAAATACCTCATAAAATTAACCATTAAAATCAGATGCAAAAACCTGCTCCACCCTGTTCATTCTAGTTATCATTTACCAGTTGTGCAATAACAAATCCTTCTTCTATACTTGTGGCTCCTTGTCACCATCTTGTGATATGATGTCATTTTGTTCGGTAGGATGGCACCATAATCTGACACCAGGGGTTTTCCCTTTTATCGTACTTTGTCTAGGCATGATCAACTTGTTGACCAACAACTACTTGTTTACCATATGAGTATGAGAGTGGTTCTGACAAATCTATATGAACTGAGTTGTCAAGTTGTTTTTCTGAAAGAAGTCTTGGAGATAGAAGTTGAATTATAACAGGATAAGGACTGATTGTACTAATTTATATACAGATATACATGTACCGGTAATATATTATGCAATCGATGAAAACCACATATTGGTATTGCAAAAAGGTTATGTAATGAATATAGTACAGTCTAGTCAGAGGAGATTTTCCTTTGAAGCTGTACAGGTAATATTTAATGCAATTGAGGATAGCCCTTACTGCTATTGCAAAAAAGGTTACGTAATATAGTGCAATCTAGTTTAACGATGTTTTTCTTCAACCCATCTGTTTACCTGACAGTATTAAGTCATGATAGGATAGGATAGGATTTACATATTCATGACGGAAGAGGAAAGTAGATAAGACGGCTCAATCATATGCCGAACCAGACCTCTTGTCCTGGTGGTCCTATGTTTCTGGACTTAGCACTCTTCTATATCAGTTTCCACTTTTAGTTGAGAGAACGGGTTACTTACTTTGGCACAATTACATAAAAATACAGATATCCTCCAATGCTGCTATATGAGTAAATTTACATCCCAGGGGTAAAGCAAGAAGGCCTAAAAAATACGGTCTTTCAGTGAAGTTAGCGTCGATAGAAGTTACGATTTGAGCTACTCTAAACAAGCTGTCATTATTTTGCTAAAATCTGATTTTTTGATTCAAAAAAAAAATTATACTTAGCAATTGGATACGCTAACAGAATGAGAGATTTAAGGACCTAATATAAAAACTGACAGAAGCGAAATATGCTGCAAATTAGTCAAGTTATAAATTATTCAAAATTTCATCCGAAGTTGCAACTTGCAAGGCATCATATTTACGGTAGTGGTTGAAACGACTTCTGTCGTGTAATTCATGCTTAGTACAGTATTATGCTCCTACTGCGGAAAGAGTGTCTAGCCTAGCTCCATATTTTATATTTCACCTACACACTAACAGCGCTCTGAATTATACAGTTTACACAGTTAAGAGAGGATAAACCGAGAAATATAAGTTAAGAACTTTTTGTCTTGAATTATTTTCTCCAAGATCTGAATTTACGAATATTCCATTTTAGAATTTTTTAAATAATATTAAATCGAAGTTATATTTACTGATCAACAGCTTCTATGCAACAAAGCCAAGGTGACAACTTCTAATTTGCTTTGTATTTAGTATTTATTTTTTATTTTTTTATCATTTATTCCATTGTATTTTATGCTGTTTGTGGAGGTAACAGAAGTTTATAAACCAAATAATTTTTCCAATTGGGTTAAACTTACTAAAATAACTTGGTTCTGAAACGGAAATTTTTCAGGATTCAATGTTTTTGACATAAACAATTTTTGTACTACTATACCATGAGGATGAAGTCTGCCACTACGTTTTCTATTCTCCATGGATATTCATTATTTAATTTAGTGATTCATGCCACGGATATGACCCCAACACATTAAATCGCATGCTAAAGCTAGCACCAAAATTTATAAATGTAGAAAATTTGACCTCCAAATTCTCCTTGAATCAGTATTTGTTCAGAATTAATTCCAAAAATTGTTCAAAAATGCTACAATGCTTATGTTATTTTTCCTTGTTCATCTCAGGCCTTAGTCCTATGACTGCCTCGATTCTGGAGTGTTCGCACACCGGTCTTGAGCGCCAATCACAAAGGTATAATATTGATTATACATTTGAATAACAATAAATTTGTTCAGTCATTGGTAAGAGGGTTTTGAGCGCCATTGCCAGTATTATTTGTTTTAATGTGTGAACGTGAGTAACGTCTTGGCAGGTTAAATCTTGTAGGGATAATTATGTCGCAACGACTTGAGGTGGTCCAAATAACTGACGATTATTTACGGCTTTCCAGGTATCAGAGAAAACAATAAATCGTGGCGGGAACTAGAGTTAGTGAGCAGGTTCTTTAACTTATAAGAATATCTTCACCCATTATATATATCAGTAATTGCTTGCACATAGCCTTGAGTGGAAGTATTGTATTAAAAATAGATAGTCTCAGTAAAAATTAACATTTTTTTCTGTGTGGAAAACTGATCATAATGCTACTGAGTATTATCTATTTGTATATTTTTAAAAATTATTATGAAGGAAGAGACTTTGTTCAAAGAGGGAGAAAAAAGATCATTAGAGGACTTGATTTATAATATAGCAAATCATAGTGTCTTACCTAATCATATCAGACATAGAAATTGTTAACCAGTAATTTATTTCAGATGTGCGGTTGAATAGCCTAATAGGCAGTCACCGTTTCCTTGCTTTTAAATTTGAGACCAGTAAGAGACCCCTTTTTCATATCAATTTTTGTCTTTTCTGGGTTACCCCCCGGCCTAGTTTCAGCCCCCAGATCTTGATACCAAAAAAAGCTTGGTAACTTCTTCAAGCATCGCACAAATCCCATGTAAGAAAACTTTGTTACAATCATTAATTACACTCCACTCAATTTAGAACAACGTAGTTTTAGCGTTATAAATTAAATACAGGATCATCTACACAGAATTATTTATTTTTCGATTAAATAAAAGTTAAGGGTAGATAGTTATTCATCGTCCATCTAAACAGCAGCACATATTGGTGATATTTTGAAGAAATCGTTATTTGAAGAAAAGTACATAAATTTATTTCATCTTATTCCCTCATAATGGCGGTACCTTTTTCTGGGAAAACATGCATGGGAGTATTGGTACATAGATTTTCATTTCAAGGCGAAGACGTAGCTTGCAATTCAAAAAAGTATTTTTTTTTACGTTTAATGTTTCTATTAGAAGAATCAGATGACTAAATAATAATCCGTAATCAGCAAATTAATTTGGGTAATTCCATTTCATATTGATTTGTTAGTTTTTGTGAATTTTTTAGCAGAAATTTTCATTATTATGATTATATGGTGAAGTACAAATAGAAGTTCAAAAGCTCTGTGCTGGGATTCTTCAGGACACCACTAGATTACCATGTTTCTCCAAAAATAAGAAGTTTCCCGGAAAATTTTCTCCCGAAAAATAACACTAGGGATTATTTTGGCGGATGACTTTTATTTTCATATATTGATAACAAAATTACAAAGTAGAGCCTTACGAGATTTTCCAATATACAAAATATAAAAAAATAATCTTCATTTGCTTATAAATAACATGTTTTTTTCCTCGTCATCACCCTTTTCTATTCTCGCACAATTCAGAATACCTGGTGCTATTTTTCTTTTCTCTATTTTTTGTCTCACCAATATTCAGCCTGACTAAGAAATCCAGTCCCAGATCACCTCCATATTGATACACTTACTTCTGGAGCGCCGTAAGTTTTGACGCCAAGATAGTTGAGTGAAAACGCTAAACCAACGTTTCCCGCCAGGGATAAATACGACCCTGTGAACATGCCCCAATTCCGCTCTACCCACGCGAGAAATTCGTTATAAGTCTAGGCCTAGTGCAAACTTTACCAGACTAAATATTTGAGAATAGTTGTATGAATACTGTGCTGTTCTTCTCTTTGTATGTTTTCTCTTTTCATCGCTTTTTTCTATTCTCTCACAATTCAAAATACCTGATGCCTTTTTTCTTTTCTCTCCTTTTTTTAAAAACAGTCTCATATAATATCAACTTGAATTAGCCTATAAAGGTATATAAAAGACATAAATATTACTTTTAACGATTGTTGCAAAATTGTACAATATTCATTTACTTATAAATAAAATATTTTTATTTAAAAAAAATGCTAAACATAGATTATTTAAAAATTACCCCAGTTCATTGAACCTTTTCCTCTTTCACATGTTTTAGATTGACCATTCATATTTTGTAAGAGATATTTCTTGCTATGGACTAGATCTTATTTCAAAGCTCCCGAAGTATTGCACCAAGATGGCGCACAACCTGAACATAGTATGTGTAGCAGGTTAAGGTTCAGGTTGTGTGCCATTTTGGTGCACATACTTCGGGAGCGCCCTTATTTTTGGGGGGACACGGTATCTCAAACATGTTGCGAAAGATCAATGGTACCTCCTACGGTTTAAAATGATGAAATCTGTTATAATTAGTGTTGATCGAGCATTATGACTGGCTGGATCGGAAATTCAGTCAGTATTTATATTGTTATTTTGATTGGAAAATTTCAAAGTAATAACACTAATCAGTATTGCGCCAGCCGCCAACCATTGTGGCCCCTTCAACTGTTCTGCGGGCCCCTTGAGGGCGAGAGCCAACCACTGCTCTACAGCATTCTTGCATCATAATATGTACATGAATTCACCAGCATAGAAAAAGGATATGTAGTTGGTCTCGCAGAAACCATGATGCGGCTGCTGGCGAATCATGCTGAGCATTAGGAAAATGCTGCGTGGATTGGCGCCTTCATATCCAGTTGGGGATCATTGTGTGCGAGAGGGTTGCTGAAATCTTCATGTGACCGCTGGTCGGTCAAGGCCTTCTCCGCCATCTATTCCATGCTTCCTAAAACAAATACTAATTAATCCCACATCCGACAAGAGGCAATGGTTTACCATATAAATAACCGGGATGAATATGAATTTATTATCTGAACCAATTTGCTAATCTACCTGTATATTTCAGCCACACTATTCAACCATCAAATCAAAAAAAGCAACTTTCAGATGTCGAAGCTGACGGATCTATATCAGATGATGTTCGAGACCCACCAGGACAACAAAGCATCTATATCCCACCAGGTGAGGCTCTTTTTATTACCTGAAATTTGCTACTCCTAGAGTCTTAATTAGACTGGTAAAAATTCTATCTTGGTTGGTAAATTCTTATAGAATATTTGCTCAAAGGTAGGTCATGCTAAGGGGTGTGCAACCTGCCGCCCGCATACTGGTCGAACGAAAAGCCAAATCATCATCTGAATCATCGCTGAAAATCGGTTTGAAAACAGCGAAATACTTTTTTAAGTCAATTACGACCCATTCATTTAAATCAGTGTTTCTCAAACTTATTAAGCAGTGCCCCGTTTTTAGAATTTGTCAAGCCTCCTGCCTCACCCCAAAAATAACTAGCTAACAATGCTGACGAATAAAGTTTTAAGTAAGTTTTCAAATATTAAATCAAAATTTTTCTTTATTTTTCAGGTGATGTCAGAAGAGAAGCCTACAGACTGTCAACCTATGAGCATTATCCAGTTTCATCTCCTATCAGTAGAAAAAGTCTGGCAAGAGCAGGTTTCTACTTCACCGGTTTCTTCGATCGGGTGAAATGTTTTTCTTGCGCGAGAACAGTAGAACGATGGAATGATATAGACAGTCCTACTGATATAAGATGGCACAAGTAAGATTGCTTTTTTGATGTGTTTTACCTTTTTTATTCAAATTTGCTCAACTTTTAGCGCAAAAATGCCGCTCTCTGAATAGTTTGGTATTTTAGATTACATAGCGTATAGGTAAAGTTTGTATTATGCATGATGTGGACCTGATAGGGTTTACGGCGTCAAATTTTTTTTTCACAATCTAGATAAAAAAATATTCTGAAGTGTCAGGTGAATGTCTGCTATGATATTTATCCTACTGTTAGATTTTTTCTACCAGGACTTCTAATCCAACCAGAAACGTATTTATGAAATGTTGCACAACATTGTATCGAAATAGTCTCTAGACAAGCTAATAAGGCAGTTGAATCGTTAACTTAACTATGTTGGCATTACAGGTCACACATCTCTTTTTCAACCCTGTGCTCACCACCAGGGTATAATAAATTGTGTGGGTGCTGCCATAACTGAAAGATTCCAGAATTTATAAAAGATTAGCCCTTGACATATAGGATGGTTCACGTAACCGCTGGTCGGTTGGTTACGGCTTCCTCCACCATCAAGTCCATGCTTCCGAAAATAACATATAGTTAGGTCATCTCATCGGTTCTCCTTTCCCCCGGGATAAAAATGTAAACTTAATCTTATCCTTTATTGTAAGGTACCAATGGCTGCTAATGCAAACCTTGTATGGCAGTATAAGACGTGAAAAATAAAAAATATAATTTGAATTGCTTTCGACAATTAATTTTGTTCTGGAAAATTTACCTGCAGAATATTGTGATTTTTTTGCTAATTTGCTCAGCTTTGTCACTAATGCTAGTGACCCTCAAACATTCATATTCAGTCGCTTTTGTGGTGTATTCTGCCTTTAAAGCGTCAAGTTTCTGTTACAATGCTTCTTTATTGTAAGAGTCAAAAACAATGAAAGAGATATGATTTCAGTGATACAAAGTAAAACAGTATGATACAATAGCTCCACCTAGTGGCAATATAAATTAATATTTTTTTCAAGACAACTTACTCAGGGCAGATCATGCGCTCTCATTTCGATGTAATGGAGGCTTTCCACTACTGACCACTAGTCTCGGAAGTATACAAAATGGTGCATTATGACTGCAAATATTAATTCACATTCCTTTTTCAGATCAGACTGTTTATTCGCAAGAAACCATGACAGTGGCAACATACCAATAAGAAGTTTATTTGAGAGAAGTAGTAATCAAGCTGGCCCATCCAGAAATCAGGTAAGTTTCTGCGTTCATTTTTGTATATAGGAATAAAATAATCACGAAATAGCAAGTATATTTGTGTGGTTATGCTCTAACTCAGTGGTTCTCAAACTTTTTGGAAGAATTTTTAGAATTTTCAAGTCTCACGGCCCACTTCAAAAATAACTGTCTAAAAATAAGCTACAAATAACAGATAGTAAGAACACATTGAAATTTTATGGATGGAACGTAAATATCCAAAATAAAGAAATGTAAATATTCTCTAAGGCGGGCAAGATCATTTATAACAAATATTTTATTTTTGATTAGCTTATCGCTCCCTCAAAAAATTGTTTATGCCCCATTTTGTGGGGCGTGCCCCACCTTTTGAAAACCATTGCTCTAACTAGATATAGATATCAACCCGGGGTTCTCAAACTGTTGGTTTTATAAAGCTTGTTATTAGGAGGTTGACTATTATTATGGAACCCTGCAAACTTGACAAACACATTGATAAAGTAGGGTCGAAATGTGCAACAGTGCTGTAATTCATGCTGCAATTCATCTATTGCAACTTATAGATGAGGATATCTGAATTACCGTCATGTTGCCACATTTCGACACTACCATTGTCAATATATTTGTCAAATTATATTGATGCCGTTATTGCTAATTTGGACAGTTAGTATTTTAGTAAGTAAATGAATAGCTGGCAGAGCCCCTAGGTTTATCTCATGGAGCCCTGGAGCTCTAGACATGGGCTTCCCAAACTGGGTTCACAGAAAATTTTAATATATTGAGAGGGGGACACGAGCTTAAAAGTTCGGTAAGCCGTGATATAGACCAGGGGATGTGCAAATGTGTGCCAAATGTGGTCCACAAGGGGAAATTGTGTGGCCCGCAGAGAAGTACCAAATCTGAATGGTGTGTAATCTAGTATGTGCGAGTATTTCCAATGTCTTTGCGTTACAGAGCCTTTACCTTCGGCTTGTACCGTCAATTTATTATCCATGTAATATGCCTATGATGTCACAATGCTCTAACACAGTGTTTCCAAACCCGAGTTCGCGATCTCAAATGAGTCCGCGGAGCGTTTGAATGATTCCGCAACCAGCCAGAAATTCATTGCGGGCCGCAAACGTTTTCGCGAAACTTAACTATTAGCCGAATTACGATTTACGTTGGAATAAACATAAAAAATAAAAGTGAAAATTAATAGAGTCAATAAATTACTGGTTACAGAGTAGGGCCTGGCATATATTCGAATATTCAACTATTAGAGTAGCAATTTACTATTCGAATATTTGGTAACAGGTGACTTGTGCGTCGCTTAATCAAACGATGGGATTTCACAACTCACTTGCGGATTTCCGATGAAAACACAAGTCTGCACACGCGTCGATAGATATCTAAGTGGTGTTTTTGGCGAGTTCGAACAACGAGGAATAAATTCTTTTTTTTCGGGTAGATGTCAATGGTGGTAACCCTAATTTTCTAAATTGAAAAGCGCAAATTTTTTTTTAAAAGGGGTGGTCTGAGTCACAAACCGGATAGAAAAAATGCATTTTTTTTTCTTGGGTGTTGAAACTTCAAATCGTGATAAAAAAAAGAAATATACGCTAAATCCTTTACTGTTACCGCTTCTTGGTTGGCAAACAATAGCATAATATTGCTGTAGCAATTTCGTTATCTAACTCAAAATACTTTGGTAGATGGAAAAGATATGTCTTCTATTACCACCCAAATAACACCGAAATTTGCATAAATTTCAAAAACACTCCCTCGTTCCGCGCAAATAAAATTCCCATGGTAAACGAAAGCGAGATTTACCGTCGCTTATGTTAATCTCGAAGAAGACTTCTTATCAATAAACTAAAACCCGGAAAAACTAGACCAACAGTTTGTGACCGGTTGCTAAATAAAACAGTGGAGTACATCAACGTACCCGCCGCAATCTAGCGAGTTTTGTCGTGGGTACGTATACGTGCCCACCGCACGGAAAGGGTTAATGTAAGTCTGCCGAGTGTACTACAACATACCCGCTGAGAATTAATTAATGCAAAACCAGCGTGTGGCCACTGCAACCTATTCGTAACTAATATTTGATCCAAATTAATCGCAAGTAATGTTATAACATTTAACGCCTGGCTGTTGGTTTACGTGCATCATTTTTTTGGGAAAACTCGTAGGTCGCGAAAAATCAATTTAAAATGAAGTAAGGCACGTCTGTAAACAATTAAAGATCGTTGCATTCAGATTATCGGAATATCACCAGTAAGTCGGCACAAATAATTATTAATATTATACGCTAGCTAGATAGCAAAGCAGGAAAACGCAAAAATGGTGCAATAACAGGTCTTCGCCGTGAGTTTATATTGCCGACTTCTTGTCCTGAATATGCTGATTGAAATTACAGTGTTTGATGTTTACCGATTTACGGGTATTTTGCGAGCAGACGCAAGTTTAATTAAACGAGAGAGATTTGCACGCGAGAAAAACGCTCGTCTATATTTGGTAAATTAGAAACCCGAAATACAAAAATTGACGCACGGTGCCGGAGAGGCGGAAACCTCTGTAATGTGGTCCGACGCATCATTCCTGAAAAAACAAACAATTGACCTCTCTCTCCCGACCTTTGACCCCTGAAAAAGTCTTCTTATACTTTACCATTGCAAAATTGTCTGGGTTTATTTTAAAAGTGGTTTCGCGAGTTGGCGCTTGTAAAATGGGGTATGTGTTTGAAACCATCATTATGATTCATCGCAAACAACAATATGTTTTTTAAAAATCCCGGTAAAGAATTTTGGCCTAGTCTATGACAGCTATTTCTACACTAATTTTTTATTACTGCAATTAAATCAAAACTCTTAGAAAGACAGACATAGAGTGATTATTGAATTATCTAATTTCTATTTAAATTCACGAAACACAACTGAAAACTAACAAATAAAGTAATGTTTACGACCACGCCTGAAAATCTGTCTGAGTGAGAAAAGTGTCTGATCAGATGCGAAAAGGGATTGTTACGTCACTTTTTACATCTTGCTGATTGGCGAATGTCACGGTGTAAACAAGGAAGTCCATGCTCGGAGAAAGGTCCATTGCGTTAGCGCACTTGGTAAACAAACAATATAAGGTCAAAGCAGAGAGCGTTGTAAACATACCCCACTACTGTTATCAATTATATTTATATTTAGATTCTAAATATAAATAGATTTTAGGAATTAGATTTTATATTAATATTAGGTATTATTAACCATGAAATATCCCAAGAAATGTAAAATTGACAGAGAGTGTCGAGCATTTAACAAAGATTGGATACCGAAGTATTTTTTGTAATAATCCAAGGACCTAAGTTTCCCACATCTGGCCCGCCGACTAGAGAAGTTGCCCACCCCTGATCTAAGCCCTTAAACTGGATCATTGTGATCAAGAAATAATTCAATGCAGTAATGAAAATAGAAATACTCCTATCCTCACATGATGACATTATGATTTACGACTAGCACAATCTATCATTTGGTTAATAGGCTACACAGGCTATGACAATGACACTGTTGATAGGTATGTCAAAAGCCAATTGAATGGCATTTCTAAGTTGTTTCAGAGTTTATTTCTCACTTTATCAACATGCATTCATTGCATTACCGTAATTATTATTAATGGCCCAATAGGGCGATAAACTTGTGATCTATTATGCTTTTTTTGTATGATCTGAAGACATAACATTGGAATATTTCTCATTTAGCTGCATTTTGGCTTAATTTATATTTGTATAAAGTTCACTGAACATTCAAGTAGAAAAGAAATTATTAAATCAGAACTCATGAAGCGAGGACATTTTGAAAGATTGTTTTATTCCTCACGAATTAGGTAGTGAAATATAATCTATTACATTACAGGGGTCCCTCCCCCCTCAAAGAAAAATGTATATATATATATATATATATAAGGTAAGATATATAAATAGATAGATATATATCAAGATATATATATATATTCAGGGTGATCAGACCAAGTGTAGACAAATGTTTGTTAAAATATCTACAATATTATTGTAGGATAGAAAAGAATTATTTTGCAGAAAATAGCATTATAAAGCTAAATAATAGAATTCATTGTTATTTTTTGATATATCCTTCCTTTGCCTTCACTACACGCCTCGATCTGATTGGAACTTGACTGCACGAGACACGTACCGTATATATTTTTTATGATATTTTGTCCCAACAAGTCATCAATCTATGCTTTAGGGCAGTTGTTCTCAGCCTGAGGTACGCGCACCACTATCGTACGCAATCAGCTTTGAATTATTGCAACAATTAACTTTTGTATTCGCTGAACAGTGTTTATAGCGCTATCAATCCTCGTCTTTAGAGATCGCCCTGCCCATTACTGTCCACCAAAAACGGAACGGGCATGTTTTCATTTGTCTACACTTGGTCTGATCACTCTGTATATATAGAAGAAGATCGAACAGAACCTTTTGTGTAAAACATTCAAAATTACTAAAACTTTCATGTACAATAATACACAAACAGAAGTTCGAGTGTTGAATAAATTTTCCTCATTTTCGAAGAAGTTATTAAGAAATTTATAGGTTCTATTTTATGTTGGGTTACCAAGATATTTATATATATTTATATTTGTAAGTAGCTATGAAAAGCAAAATATGTAAACCTATTTAGGCAAAAAAGGACCGAAAAACTATATCCTGGTAAAATTTTAGGGAAATTCCCATGACAGACTCTGTAGCTCATGGTGTTGCTTCAACAACTAGCCACATTGCGGTATAAATTATCCATATAAATAGTGGTAAATGTTGGTAAAGCAGTACAGGAAACAGTTGTGCTAAATATTGACTAGATCTTAGACATATAGAAATATTGTTGTGTAATGCAGAGTTTAAGTTCAACTTTAAAATACAATCACCGTAATGTTGGTGATGCTTGAGTAATTGCGGAAATTAATGTAATGCGGATGTAATTGCGGAATTTATAAGCATAGTGCAAATGTATAGAGCAGTAAAATTGGATTTCCAAATTTGGTTTGTGATAAAATATCTCATTTGAAAATTAATCTAAAAAATTCAATTGCAGAGCTCGAATTAAATTTAAATTTCAAGTACCATAAACAGTATAGTTGGTAAGGTAATGCTTGAGTAATTGCAGAGCTAGATCGTAAAAGATATCCATGGGTAATATGCAAAGCAGATTTGCATAAGTAAAAATAATTGCAAATTACACTTTAAACATAACATCCTTGTTTTAATTAATATATTTAGAAAATCTAGAAAATGCAGGGCTCGAACTAAACTTAAAAACTTTGATTGAATATGAAGTGTCCGTAAATACAGTAGAAGTATTTGTCAACATTTGTTGAGGTGTGTGGTATGGCTATATAAACTTAAAAAGTTTGCTCTGTGATAAAATTAAGTATTATTCAAATAAATACTCAAACTCTGTGGTTTTGAACATTTTACTTCTTGCTGAAGTTTTGCAGACGGATATACCCATATATTTCAGATAATTTTTTTTAGTGTTTTATGAGAAAACTCCTAAATTGATACTCAAGTTTCTGTTTGAATTACAAGGGATTATTAGTTGATTGCTATTAGCAACAATATTACAACCAATCAGAGCTAAGAACTCATTTTCAAATATTTTACGGTACTGCACCTCAGAGGTTACCTTGGGGAACTCCCGAAAATGGTACTCAGTTTCTGTCTGGACTTGTTTCCTTTATAGACATCGATTAGTCTGGAGGGCATTCATTATCTCAATTTGTTCCTGTGTTGTTATTGTTGAAGCACCGCTATAGAAAGGCAATACTCCATTAGAAATGGTGCAATACCTGACGTTTATAAGGTTTGGTAATTCCTTTCTCTTTATACTGAGAGGGGGATTCATTAGTGTATTTATGTTCCTTTATGACAGGTCGGCCACTTCTCAAATTCAAAACTTAAAAATAAACACAGTCTGATGTCATACTATTCACTAATGAAATCATTATAACATTTGAGTACCTCAAAAAATAACTACCGGTAAATGGTGATGTGTAGTTGTCATTGCATTTGAACATTCACCCAACAACATTTAACTTTGCTCAAAACAAGTGTTACTTCTTATTCCTACCGTAACTGCAATTGTCTAGTTGTAATCAGGGCTGGTGGGCTAGTCCGAAATTACAGTGGCACCGGCTCTGCCTTCGGAGCCACAGCCATATGCTGAAAAGGATATATTTTATTAATTGTATGATATTATAAATGTTAAAAAATAATTAGATGTTATGGAGCTGGCTCTGGCTTCAGCTCCATCTAACTTGATAAGCTTCGCTTCAGTTCGACCAAAATCTCACATCTCTATGACTCTGGGCTCCAGCTTCGGATCCGGCTTTTATTTGGAAGATTTATTTCTCTGAAAAAAATCTTTCATTTATTTCCATCCATCTTTATAGCTAAAAATACATTTCTATGCATTAAATAAAAGAAATCACTTTTTTAGACATCTAAAACCTTTTGGAACAAAACATTACACCAAGCTCAGTGGGCCAAATTGAAGTCATTTATATTTTTAGGATGTTAATAGGATAGGCTATTCCCAGAAATATGGAAAATAATGATAATCTGAATAATATATATATATAGGATCATTTATAGGATATTTCCTGGAATAATAATAATATTGTAGCCATGTAGGTTGAAATTTTGAATTTTTTTTTTTTTGTCAAGCGTTGTTAAGACTGATTAGCCGTTATTAATAAAATTTGATTTATCAAAATATTGCTTAGTGATTTGCTTATTTAAATTTCATAACTTGGCAACGAAATATTTAAAAATCTCAACAAAGTTATTCCTGATTAACTATTGCAATGAATCAAAATTAATTTATATTTCATAGGATAGATTTGTAGCATTTCAAATTGTCATCAATCAATTTTTATGGATAGGCTATACAATAAATTGCGTTTTTTGCTTATTGTAATAGCCCAAGTTTGTAGTACATCTATATCCAAAATATTTTATCTCAGTTTATACCAGAGAAGGTAGCACAAAACTCTTCTTGTAATGTAACGATAAGCTGCTATCCTATGGCTATGAGTTTGGCCAGGGACTATCTACCTCTATCTTTGCAATAATACTTTCCTCGACTAAGTACCGAAATATCTATCTTTGTGAATTACCAAAACCTCCACAGCAAAAATCCCCTGGAATTATATGGTCTGGTCTGCACTACATCATTCTTGAAAATGTGCTGACATGTGTACAACTTCTGCTTTTATATTTTCGTATAATGTATAAATAATTATGGCTTATGGCGTCATGTAATGGTGCAATCAGAATTGCAAATTTTATCAACAATAATTTACAAAGAGGTCATTCCCACTAACTCAGAGATAAGTCCCATGTTGGAAGTTAAGTCATTCATTGTGTTTTGTCATCATTATGAATTTTATGAATGAATTATGAAATTTTTTTCAGAATAATTTGCCTAAAGTTAGGTCATTCCCACTAACTCAGAGATAAGTCCCATGTTGGAAATTAGGTCATTCATTCCGTCATTATTACGAATTTTTATGAATGAAGTTTTATCTTTAGAATAATTTGCCTAAAGTTGGGTCATTCCCACTAACTCAGAGTTAAGTATCATGTCTGAATTTGAGACAGTCATTGAATTAAGTCTCAACATCGGTTATTTGTTGATGAATTGAATTCATTTCCTTCAGATGCCTCGAGTCAATTCAATTTTTATATACACAATGATTCTGGTTCTCAAAACATAAAATTCATCTATGGCCAGGGTTAGCATATCGTGTTTATTTCTAAGATTCGTGCTTATTTTCTAGCCCGCGTCTTATAAAGTAACAATGTGCTCATTTCTAAGAAAAGTGCTTATTTTTGAGAGGCGTGCTTATTTTGTCTTGAAAATATGGAAGACTCGTTCATGTTTCTGCTGTTGTTAAGAAAAGTGCTTATTATGAGTGGCAGCTTAGTCTCTTATTCAAAGTGAATAGTATTAATCATATCATAAAATAAAAGTATGTATATCCTCGCAAATAGGCCAAGTTTAAAATTCAAAAAAAAAGTTGCCAAACTGATTGGTCGGCTTAAAAGTCAAAAACAAGCCATGTTTACCACCTTAGATACAGTCCCCTTTTATAGTTTAAAAGAAAATTATATGACCAGAAACCAGTCATAAATATTTTAACATTTCCTTTTTATTTTATGTCATAAAACCAAAAATAGGGACATCCTTGTGTATTTTTAGGGATGCATTTTGGTTTATAATCTTGACTCGTTCAAACACATTATCTCATAACAATCCTTTTATGGTATTCCTCAAAGAAGATTGAGTTTTTCTGGCAGGTATTCGGGGCTTTCCAAGTGGTTAGATATGTACATACTTGGTTAGTTAGTAAACAGAAACCTTCGATTTTCTGTAAAATTCATTTCCCCGGGATAAATATAGTAAAAATATTACTTTATTTACCTTATATATAGGATACAAGCATACAACATGCCCATAGGAAATGTCTTACATATATGTACAAGGTGCGGTCTTGTATTAAATTAGGTAAAAAAAAACTGTGATAAGCTTTTTGCAACTTATGGTGGGCATATGAGGTTAAGTAGATTGATTAAAAAATCTTGAATTAAGAATGATTGAAATGAAACAAACCTGGTTAAGATATATTCAGAACTGACTTCATTGTAACAGGACTTTATTATGGTATGTGAAATATCAGTTTTTATAAAACGTTTTTGCTGTTTATATTTAATTGAGTTGAGTGCCTACTTTTAGTAATTTTAAGAAGGATTTTGATTTTTTTTAATCTAGCGGAATTGTAATTTGTGCATAATCACTGGTTGGCCCATGAGTAGACTAATTAATTACTTATTAATCTATTATTTGATAATCATTAAAATGAATTATGTAAGGAATGATGGGACAGCTCTCCGCAGAGTAAGTTTGTTGACATCTATTTTTAGAAATGTTTGTTGACAGCTATTTTTAGAAAATTTTTGATTAAATTCAATTTTTTTGTTTGTTTAAAAACCTTCTGCCTGACTTTTGCTGCAATAGACATTAGAGCCAGGAGCGAGGCCAGTCCCTTAGAAATGTAAAAAAAAAATTATGTACCATACATAGCCATTTATGTAGCTTGAAACACTTTTCAGACTCGCAAGACTCCTACTATCTGTTGCAGTCTAACTTGGCAATTAGAAATTTCTAAATAACTGACTACACCCTTGATTAGAAAATTACTATATGCACTATATGCACAGAATGTTTTTTACAAAATTCTTTTTTCATCTAGGAGGAAGTGCTACAGCAAAGAGACGCCACTGGAGAAGTGGTACGAACCGTAAGATATCCCGCAGATTTACCAGAGAGAGTTAGACAGACTGGTAAGTATTTTTGAGTCCTTAAAATAGGACGTTTTCATATTTACCTTGGGCGGGGGCATAGTAGATGGTACTATGGATCTATCAAATGACTGATATATAGAAAACTTAAAGTTTCTTATTTATCTTGGGGAGAGGTAAGCTGTTAAGATGTAATAATCAAATAGCAAACCATAGCCCACTGTCTGGTTGCCAGTCCAGAACGTGAAATTGGAATAGTCCAGGGGTGGGTAAATTATGGCTAGCAGGCCAGTCGGCCCATCGATGTGCGATCCGCCCTACCGAAGTGTTTCATCCTGTCCACTCGTGCCTGCTGAAATTACGACTATAGCTTTTATAGATATAAATACTGTTGAAAATATTGATGAAAAATCATTCCATAATGACCCCAAGTGTTGGATTGTGATTCTTGTTATTATACAAACGTTGCAAATAGTGTGAATCAGCAGTGTCATATATATACAGGGTGTCCAAAAAGTTTCGCCCGATCATAAAGTCTTTAAAACCAAATGATAGTTTATTTTTTAATTGTAAAAAGATTTATAGTCAACCTGTATTGAATTGGATGTTATAGATGTTGGATGTTGTACTTATCAATTATCATACATTAAAATTTATTTAAATTTACATTTGTTTTTGCCATAAAATCGGGCGAAACTTTATGGACACCCTGTATATGTATAAAATTTCTACTATTTATTATTGATCTCTTGTTGGGTAATTTTATCGGTATCTGAAATTTCTTTTTTCAGGGGGCACGTTTGAAATTGGACCTAATAATACAATAAGAATACAAACCGGTCCAGGACAAAATACTAGAAATGTTGGTGGACTTGGGTCCCAACCACCCCAACCAAGAAGATGGAGAATGGCGAATGTTATTTCATCCGATCACAGAAGATTTTTAACTAACTTGCATTTGAACAGAGAACTTGACAGGTGAGATCCAGGATTTTAAACATAATTAAACATTCTAGCATTTTCTGACTTGGAAAAGAAACAAATACAATATTTTCAGAATTCTTTTCAGTAGTTCTCATCGGCCACATCCCTATCACACATCTTTAGTCTTTGACTATAAGAGTGAATGGATTGTATTTTTAAGGCATGGTCTACAATTGGCCGAGTGCTTCAGCGGCTACAGTGTCAGACTTTGCTTTGTTTGTGTTGCTGATTAAAACTCTTGGTCAAATCCTGAGCTCATCACTGATGGCGCAGCTAGGTTTAGGGTTCGAGACTCCCACATTTTGAAAATTTCTAAATATCAAAAAACAGCAACAAAAAAGAGTTCACTTTAAAAAGTGACACAATCATGGCAACTGTTTCCAAAGCCAACACATGGGAAATTCCGATTTTAAAATCTTTCTCTTTAAAATACTGCCTATGGCAGGCAATTCTTATTGTTTTTTTTGTTGAGCTTTAAATTGAATGTAAATGATGAATGCCATGAATAAACCAGTGCTTGACTATCAACATTCTTTTCTATTTCCAGACTTGCTTCATTTGCTCGATGGCCGGTTGGTCGTCCGAGTGTGTCACCAGCGGCTTTAGCGAGAACGGGATTTTTCTATCTTGGTGACATGGACAGAACTCAATGCTTTTCTTGTGGTGGAGTTTTGAGGAATTGGACTCTTGAAGATGATGCGATGGTAAAAAAAATTTGAGAAATTGACAAACTCAAAGAAATTTTTTGAATGTGCTGACTGACTGTACTTCACGCAAATCATGGATTAGTTTGTAAGGAATAATAGGTGGCAGTCGATAACATGGCTTAATCATATAGCAATCGGTGACCGTACTTTGAACCCATGTACATTTGAACCCATGCGTATATCCACGGGTTCAATCTATATGCGGGTGCTAAAACCCATGGGTTAGGGTTAGTATGGGTTGAACTATCCGTGAAAAAAAAAACATTTCCATAGGTGCAATAGCATACAGGTGCAATTGTCATGGGTTCAAATGTACGTGGGTTCAAATGTAATGGAACCATAGCAATCATATGGTCTCTCTTTGGTTTCAAGAAGGAGGAATGTATAAAACGCTATCTCGCGACTCAAATTTTCAAAATTTTGCATTCAAATCCTGGTGCCTGGTGCTGTAATCCAAAATGTTTGGTTTCCTTTCTCAGATTTTGTTTTTTAAGTCTTTCGCCTTTCTGAAATTTAGGAACATGTTTTTACAGGCAGAACATCGTTCACATTTCCCCAATTGTAAAATGATACTCGGAACCGAGCAACGTAATTACAAAGTCAATGAGTTTCCCGACCCACCTGCAGATCGTGCGAGAGATTATCCATGCAGATTTCCATCCAATCCACATATGAGAAATGAAGTTGCAAGACAAGATACCTTTGATCGTCGATGGCCGGTGGGAAGAACAGCTGCAACTCCTGCAGAAATATCGCAAGCTGGATTCTTCTTTCTAGGTAACATCTTTATCAAATTACTTCACTCACACTGTTTTTATCTGTACTATTAATAAGGCTTTAGACAAGCAGTCAGAAAGAGCTTCTATTTTTAGAAAAGACTGGAACTTATTGTTAGTTATATATTTATAGTCTGTGGTGAAGGTAGGCATCAATATCGTAAGGCTCATATATTCTTACTTTGTACGATTTACATTTTAAATTTTTATTTCAGGAGAGCGAGGCAATAATAAATCGCTTCAGACTAGCATTCACTGATACCCAAGGAACCATTATAAAATATTAGAATCTTTACTGGTAATCATTGCCTGTTCTCTATATAACTCTGGAGACATTGGAATTTTGATGCTTTTATAATCTTACTTCATACAATGAAACAGATTTTTGTATACTTTCAAACATTCTAAACTTTTATTATAGGAGAACGAGACCGCGTTAAATGTTGGTATTGTAACGGTGGTCTCCAGAATTGGGAATACGACGACATGCCATGGATCGAACATGCAAAATGGTTTCCAACCTGTCAGTTTTTATTGCAAGTAAAAGGACAACATTTCGTGTATCGGCATTTAACAATGAACCCCCATCTTGCACGTCCGATCATCGCAAAACAAGATGGAGCGACTGTTGATCCCACTGGAGGCAATGCTGGAGGTACAGGAGGATCTGGTCAAGGGAATGTTGATATTCCACCTGGTGGTCCGGCAGACAGACAACCTGAACCAACACCAGAGATCATTGATCCACAGGTACAGAGATGACGAAAAAAATTCTTGAAAATTTTTTTATTTCTCACTTTCTTTTTTGTACTTTACTAAAGTGAGGTCACAAGTGCTCACTCAAGAAGAAATGATTCTCGCCACTGAGTACATATATGAGTAACCACCATGAGTAACCATTGTAACTCGTGAAACGATTCAATATAGCTCGCCAAACCTAAGGACAAAGAGTTCAACACTTTATGTTTTTTGTTTTTTTTTGCGTTCTGGGTACTCCCCTGCGGGCGCCCCAAGCTTCTTCCACTTCTAGTTTAGATGGAAGGTCACAAGCAGTCACTCAGTTATAAAAGATTTTTACGACTGATTAAATTGGTGAAATATTCATTTCTCTTTATTACTTATCTACTATTTCCAGGTTGAGATGAGAAAACGTAAAGAAAGAGTGAAAACTACAATGGAGAAATCAGATCTTGTGAAAAGTATCTTACTGATGGGATTTGATGAAAAAATTGTAAGTTTTTTTTTTTTTTATGAAGTGTTTCACCTTTAAGACCTGAATATAAATCTGTAAATATATCCCCTGATAAAGAATATTTGTGTATATATATTATTATTTTAAAACAAGTCCAGCAGCGGAACGTCGAACAAACGAAAGTTTGTAAACAACTAGTAGTCAATGCTATAATAAAACCTGAAATCAGCTTAGCTTAGATTTTTATTGTCTCAAGTCTTGTTCTAAGCAAGTAAAACATGAAAATTCAAAATGTCTTTTGAAATTCCAGGTTGCAGCTCTCCTTGAAGATAAAATCGAGAGTGGAAACGTTGAAAATCCTGATGATATTTATGATTCTATGTCGAGCTTACTTGATGATGTCATGAAGAAAGAACAAGAAATCAAAGAAGAGGAGAGTCAGATGCAGGCTGCTGTTCAGATACCTGCAGTGATGAATGTTGGTGGGGCTACTTCTATGGCTTTTCAATCTTATAACTCAGGTATTAACAGATATTAAGTTACTATTTAAAAGTACATTTTCTAGTTTTCCCCGAGTGTGTGTACCAGGTTAGGGTTAGGCCATAATCTTTTTCCGATTTTTCTAATTTTAGTTCTATTACGAGTTTGGAGAATGTTTGTGTTAGCCAAATGAATATACCCTCCTATGGTTCTGTCCCTTTACACAACTTGATGTAAAGTAGGCGAAAAAATTAGTTACCTCTATATTGGTACATACACTTCTGAATCGTCTGCACAAGGGTACATATACAAGTTCCCTCTAGTTTTTGGAGAATTTGAATGTTTGCACTTCGAACAAGGTCTCTTATATGCATTTGCTCTTATCTACCAGTAGTTATAAAAAGAGTTACAATTTATGAAGAGTATTAGAATTTATTCAACTCGGAATTGCCTGCCTGCTTGATTACAAGGGATTTGTAACCGGTTCTCCCATAGTATGTGTACAAGGGTAGTGATAGGCCATAGTTTTATTACGATTTTCATTATTTTAGTTCTATTACAAGATCGGGACCGTCTGTGTCAGCCAAGTGAATATACCCCTGCCCATAGGATTCAGTCCCTTGACACAACTTGATGTAAAGCAGGCGAATAAAACTTCATATTAGTACACTCACTTCTATTTTCCAACTTCAACCAAACAAAAACAATGTCGCTGGGCCAGTGACAGATTTTTTTTAATGTTACAGCCTACAGCTCAATGTCTACTCCAATGTCATCGTTGGGGCCTTCCCCGGGATCGGGAAAATATCAAGTTTCATTGATTGATGACAATGAAGAACCGATGGATGAAGACATGTATGGAAGTGTTGAAGCTGGCCCTTCCACCACTGAAGGTGTGAATTTTTTGTTTTTTATGAGGGATTGTTGTGTTACTGCCCCTCGCCGTGTAGAGTGGTTTACGTCAGAGCTTCCCAAACTTTTATGCTCGCAACCTCTTCAAATATATTAAAATTTCTTGCGACCCCCATTAAGTTAGCATTGCTATGCCGCTTCTCAAGTCTTACGATCAAGGTCGGCATAGTTATGCAAGCCGCATTCTGATTGTCTCAAAATTGTGAGATTTATGTTTATCACGAGTTTCAATAATCGTGTTTTGAATCAAACGTCTAAAAAAGTATAGTCGATATAGTACTTTGTGTGTAATTGGTGTACCCTTTGCGCCCCCAAAATTTGTTGCGCGCCCCTTTGTGAGGTTGCGACCCCGAGTTTGGGCCATGGTTTATGTGACCACTGGTCGATTACAGCTACCTCAACTATTAAGTTCAAGCATCTGAAATAACTAAATTGTTCCACACAGAAAAATCTAATGTGCACTTTGTATTTTCTCAGTAACTCCAGCAAAACAACTTCTCAATGCAGAAGAAAATTCTGAGTCACTCCAGGTAAGTTCTTATTATTATTCAACAATATTAATTCATCGTTTTCCCATCGCCTTGAACTGTTTTCAGTGGTTTTTATGAGATTTTACTCAAAGCAATGTCTTTCGCACTCACTTGGGAGTAAAGGAAGGGACCTCCTGAAGTATGCACACCAAGAAGTCGCACAACCTGAACTCAGGTAGTGTACCAGATTAGGGTTCAGGTTGTGCGACATCTTGGTGTGCAAACTTCAGGAGTACCGAAGAAAGATTCATCTCTGAGAAAAGTTATGGATGGCCACTGGAATGAAAAAACTACTGAGAATTATAGGATATGGTTTACATATTTATCCTGAGCGGTAAAAGATGATAAAACAGCTCAATAACCATATGGCGAACCACGGCTTCTCTTTCGGGTCACCATTCCATGTCGGGTACAGGATTAGTTAGCCAGTTTTCAGATGCATGGATTTGAAATTATGTTGCTGCCTTGCACGCCAGTAGTATATGCAGGTTGAGGTTTAGAATCATTGGTTCACAAAGTCTTTTTTTTTTGACGTTTTCATGTCGAACAAGGCAAAACCGGTCTTAATTGTTTTTATTTTATAAAGGAACAACTAACTACCTTGGTATTCAGCATGGTAGTTTAACCGGTCTTATATTGTCTTTATTTTATATAGCAACAACTGGAAAAAATAGAAGAAGAGAGAATGTGTAAAATCTGTTTCAGTAATCCTGCTGATATGGTTTTTATTCCTTGTTCTCATATGATTTGTTGCATGGAGTGTACACAGGCAATCAGACATTGTCCCGTTTGCAGAAAAAAGATCGAAAAAGCGATCAAGACATATGCGAATTAAGAAATTAGACATGTAAGTGTATTTATACATGTTCACATGCAACACTTTTAACTTCTTTATCACAAATCACAGTACTCTCGTAGTATGTGTACCTGGTTATGGTTAGGCTATATATGTCACTTTGCTAGCCCCCGAACTCGTAATAGAACTAAAATGAGGAAAATTGGGATCAAATTATTCCTTAACCCTGAGCTGGTACACATACTATTTTGTGGTTTCCGCCATCTTGGTTCACATACTACGGGAGTACCCAAATCACAACAGGTTGGAAATAAAATTTGACTTTATTAACATAAAATTATGCCAATAAAAAGTTTTACTATTCAAGAACATTTATAATCAACGCCAAACATGAGCGCTCGTATGTTCACATAAACGATCAAACTTTGAGTGATTGTCTGATATCCCCAGCTGTACTTCCCTCTTTCTCTGGATAAATGGAAAATTTCCAACCTATAACCTCATTTTTTAGGTTTCAACCCAGCAATAAACTCTCAGTATGTTTTGGATATTTCACCACTTTCCTGAATATGGCACTCTTTTTTGGATATATCAATTTTTTCTTCACGTGAAGATCTTTTTTGGTATTCACCCTCAAGAACAGAGAGAGATAGATCGAAAGAAGTTAATTATTTTCGTCATTTTACCAGCCTTCTGGTTACAGGCAATCAGACAAGTTGGAATAATTACAGCTTGAACTTTTCCGCTTAGGTCTTTTCTACTTTAATTTGAAAAATATACATATGCCTTTCAGTAAATTGTATTGTGAAAAATATGAAGGTGGCTCTTTTTTTAATTAATTAATGTGCTTTGGTCTTTTTCACAAACCAATCGCATTACGCATGTGATTGTATGTATTGTGTATATATTTCATCTTAATACTACAACAAATTGTTTTTGTTTGTCTGTTTCAATATTGTATTGAATTTCATTCCAGACATTGTCGTTGATGGGTAAAATTAGTTTAACTTTTATTCATTTTTAAGCATGGTGTACTGGTGGGAGGAGGGAATGGTTTCTTTTGGTTTAAATGGTTTAGGTATTCGATTTTCATTTTCAAACGGTGGTTGAAAGTTTTTGGTCTCTATATTTTCGGTCTAGGTTTAATTATAAAATTCAAGGGGCATTTTTTATCTAGACTTTTTTTCTTTTTTTTTTATCTATACAACTTAAAAGGGCCATGGATAAAACATTGCCAAAACAATGTTTATAATTGAAATAAGACATAAATTCGATATAATCCTGATGTAGGTACTTACTAAGGTTCAATCTCACATAATAATGTTTTGTAGTGTCAGAAGCTTTCAGCATCCAAGTGGCCACCCACAGCTTCGCTCAAAGATCATTTTCTCTAATTTTTGATTGACTTCCTGTGACCTTTCTTGGGCAAATGTTTTTTTTTAAAATGATTAATGTAGTAAAAAGGATCATCATCCACATTTCTAAAAAAAAGTGTTCTCCATCATTTCGATACATCATTCCATCAATTGCAATCTATCTTGTGTTTAGACGAATTTTTAACTAATTTTTACAGTGGACTTTAAATATTGAGTACATGTTCTAAAATTTCATTTTTCTTTGGGGAGAGGAAAGCTTATACGATTGTGCAATTATATGACAAACCGTGACTTCTTTATTCAATTCCCAGTTCCCAGTAGGGTAACTCTCAGGCTAAAGAGAGGGAAAAAATTTACTTGGACTCAAAACTTAAAAATTTTTACCCTGACATAAGAGTAAAATTTTGAATAAATGTGTGAAAAAAAAATTGGTTTAAACTTATGAGTGGAAAAAACTTTCACTCGGACTCAGAGTTGAGAAAAAGTGTATTTATGATCCCGGCCATGAGGAGTTCAAAAACATGTCTACAGCCCCGACTCTAATGAAAACCAACCTCTCTAACCCCACATCCCTGAAAATAAATGTGGAAAGATAAATTTTGTGAGAATGTTTGTGATTGCTGAGAAAGAAAGAATGTTGACTTTTTTGTTGGTTTATGTTACGATATCTGTCAGTTTTAAGTTTAGTTCGTTTTTCAAAATCTGATTTTTCATGCAGTTGTAAAAGTTGTAATAAGAAATAATTTTTTTGCAATATTTCAAAATTCGACAGGAACAGTTAGGACATATTTAAGAGTATAGTATAGTCATATTGAAGTTCCCCTAATTTTTGTTCAGCAGATTCTCTGATATACTTGCTTAACTGAAATAATAGATTACCTTCTCAAGTCGTTTCTTAAAGTCAGTTTGCAATATTTGATTTGACAAACCTATTTTTGATATAACCACAAAAGAATCTTTGGTTGTATTGAATTTTCAATTTTTTGCTTTTTGATCTGCTTGCTTCTGTCAAGTACTTCCTTTTCCTAATTTTCATCCAATCATCTTTGAAGCCACAATTCACTAGTATACTTAAATAATATTACTCTTTCTTTAGATAATTTTCAAGCTTTAAAATTATGTTTAAGGCCTCAATTCCGAGATGAATGTGCTGTTTTTCTTGCAATTAATTCATGCAATGTAGCCTCAAATAAGAAATATGCAAGTTTGCTTTAATTTTCTTTCATGTTTTCGAGAGTTTATCCCCCATTTTCAATTTTTTAAACATGGGCCATGTTTAACGGCTTGAAGTTAGAGGGTTTTCTTTCACATTTACAAGTTGAGGTTCTTTTTTTATTTTGGTTTCGAGCGAACAATTTTTAGAATTTGAGTAATGGGTTCCTTGTTTTAAATTGACTAGGAGTAAAGTTTAAAACAGGCATAATATACCAGTAGTTTAACCCCCTTTTCTCGCATTCTATTTCTATATGCAAATTCTGTACTCCAATTCTGTACTCTCCATAATATTTGGATTCAAAGTGATGGATTCTTTCTTTGTTTTATATTGAATTATAAAGAAAGTTGGACACAGACAAGTATTTTAAATCTTTTTTTTTAGTGTGGCGTCCATTTTCATATGAAAATTCTGTACTGCATTATCTTTTCTGCACAGAATAAGAATGTAATGGACAGCATGTCAATAACTCTTACAAATGTGATATTACTCTTTCAGTTTTACATAATACATTCTATATCCAACGAACCCGGAAAGAAATTCTAACAAGCAGAGACATTTTAAACCATAGCAAGAAAAGTTATAATTAATAAATAACTTCCTGTAGGCTCTAAAATCATTTCTGATAAGGTCATATGAGTATAAAACAATTTTAACCTTTGTTATTACATGGTCCATGAAAACCAAATTTGTATAAAGATACATGCAATGCAGTCTTTCTTTGGGAAAATTTTCTTAAAAGCGCTCTAATTGGCTTCGCTATGCTTTTGCTTTTTTTGTTGTATCATGTTATGTAGCAATGCTAGTAATATGAATATTAAATTAAAATTTAGACAGTTTTTTTAAATCTGAATTTGGAAATTTTTGTTCTTAGATTCCCTTTTTTCAATTTTTTAGTTTTATTTGAAATTTTTCCCAAATTTATCTTTTGCTCTACGAAATTGTGATGTATGATGTCGCCCAACTATTTGACTGATTATCACGTTTTGTCAGCGAGAAAGAAAAATTTAACTTTTATTATTTAGTGAAATATTATAAAAACAAAGTTTTAGTTTTCATTTCTACAAAAAAGATTTCTGAAATTTTCAATTTCATATTTTCTGACAAATCTGAAATTTAGGTTGGCATCGCTTTTTAAATTTTTGGTTTTGAACTCAAAATTTCGTTTGAAATTGCATTTTTGTGGAAAAAAATATCCAAATTCTTAGCATGTTGTATATATATTGTATGTAAATTTGTAAAGTCAATTTACTGTGAATCAAATTTCTTCATGCTTTGTTTGAGATGTTTTGCAGAGCTGCGTGAATAATCAACTTATAATTATAAAATTGATTACTGATGCAGTTTAGCTCAGTCACCTCACTTTTTTCATTCTTTTTTGCGCTCCCCGAGCCTGTACGTCCTTGTCGTGAGCGTGGACGCTTCCATTATGTTAGTTAGCTTTTTGTTTTTCGCTTAATAGAATTGAACTGAATTATGAGAATTCAAAAAGTATTTAGATTCTTTCAGTCAAAAATTTTAAAAATTAGTATCAATTAGAACGCAAGCCTACTGAGGAATTAGTTGTTGGCTTAGCCATTACTTTCTGTTATTGATGGACAATTCAGACATTTCCCCTCAGTTGTGAATTATTATGGAAGTGACTGGAGCAAGCTCATTAGCAATTGGGTAGTTTAGGGAGGTTGTTATTGAAGGGATTATATTAAACTTTTTTTTGGAAAAAAAAAAAGATTTAAAAATAATTGGGTGTCTTTGCTACTTTTTTACAAAAATGTAACAGTGCGAGTTATGAGATTTATTCCTTGTTTTACGGACATTTTGTTTCATTGAAACTTTCAAAAAATATTATCCTATCGCTAAAGGAAATACTGGTGAATATATGGAAAATTTTGGACCAATGCTGACTGATGTTTGAATAAGTTCTTTTCAAAAAAAAAATATTAATATACATTACTGTAACATGTACGTTGTACACCTAAAATCTTTATACAGATCATCATTAAAACCGGTAACATTGTGCGATACTTCATAAGCATGCAGTTTCATTTTTGCCTCTTAAATTATGGGATCAATACTTTCTTCAAAGTTATCTGCAGTTGTTCTTAACTCCCATGATCTGTGGCTGCACGTTTCCATCACATATTTTGTTTGGCACTTTAATATTAAAAAAGCAATGCATTAAAAGCTAAAGTATAACTGCATTACAGATTAAAATATTGAACATCGCTTAGTCAATTTACGTCCAATTGATGTAATTATCGTGAATGGAACCTACAGAGGATGCTAGCGGCCACAGAGGGACCCAGTTTTTGAGAAACTCTGATCCATAACGTCTTGGCTTACTAAAATTTGATGGAGCAATTGATCCATATTTCTCTGTTTATCCTAACTTATCTTACTGTAACGTAAGTTGAACAGAACTAAAAAAAATTATTAGAAAATGAGTAATAGCGAGATAATAATACCTGAATCCTTGTTAAGTTGCACTACTAAAAGTTTGTTTTAACAAGAGTAATGATATCATTTAAGAACTGTGATGATTTCAAACTTATAATCGAAGAAATTTTTTATTAACCTGCACTAAATTAAATATCGTTACACAATTATGCCATTGCCACCTTTCATATATGATATGCTATACAGCTGTATTCAGAAGGAAATAACCATTTACATTTATATGATGCAATAAAATGTAGCAAATTTGTGCTTAAGTTCAGAGATATCCCTGTATTCTGCATTACACCTTCACCAATTCGAGTCTCATCTTATTTTCTCTCCTTGAAAACCGAAAAATATTAATATTATTATTATCCTAATATTAATCTACCCTAATTACCCATTGCAGTTGTATATATGTAAATTAAACACAAAAATTGTAAAATGTACCTAATTTATTTTTTGTATTATTGCGTAGTAGAATCGCTTTCATGTACATGTTAATTACCACGATGTGGGCTTTGCTTTGCTAATGCCTAGTTTGGAGCTAACAAAACTCCAAATCGTGACATCTAGCCATTTATAATTCGGCTTATGACTCAAATGGACATGGATTTTGACGCCAGCCCCGTACTTTTGAATTTTAGAGTCCTAATAACAAATAGTTGCTTTGCAATTTCATTCGTATCACTATAAAGCGTTGTTTGGCCGCTTATTAAAAATTCTAATATGAGTCAAATTTGCGGCCTCTGGTCTTTTGTTATATTTAGCCCTGAATAACTATGGATTTCGACTCCATCTCTGTTTTCTGAATTTTAGAGTCTTTACATGGTTGATAGGTACCGGTAGTTTCTTCACAATCTTATTCTTTTATACTGTACTCTACGCCTAGTTCGGAGCTTTACAAAAGTTTTAGTATGACTTCCTTTTGTGAGTTCTAGCCATTTTAAATTCGGATCATGACTCTGGATGACCTCAGCCTTTTGACTCCATCTCTGTAATCTAAATTTTAGGGTCTAAATATGGTTTATAGAGACCAGTCTTCTGCAATTTTTTCAAATGGGTTTTCATGAACCATGGACAATTTTAAAATCTAAAATAATTTCTGTAATATAATTTATCCAGTATTACCGCAAATATATTACACATTATTTAATCGCCGGTATTTCAAATCAAACATTCTTAAAAATATAACCCCTAGTGATGAAATCCTAATAACAATTAATGTTGATCTGCTTTGCATCTATATTTAATATCACAATCTCAAAATTACCCATTTCATATTAAAAATGAGCATTACAGTATAAAACAATCTAAATGTTAAAATAACTTTTTGGAAATAAAAATTGTTTAACAACCTATATAATGATATCAAATGTAGAGAACAAATTTTGATCATTTCAAGTCAGAAATTTAATGGGGCCTCTAACACTGCTTCATGTAAAACTGTTGACCTTGTATATCTGGCACTGAATTGGTAATTGAGATCCCATGGTTTGCCATATGACTTAACCGCCTCATTGACTTACGACACTCTCAATGATAAGTTTAAGGAACCTAACTTTTTATCAACATGTATTCAATTGCTTCGAGCCAATTTAGTTTTAATATGGTGCAATTTACTGGTTAACTAGTTTCATATATTGACTGGTAACTGTTAGGGCTGCTGACTGATTAAGCCACCTTATCATCTTTTCTCCTTGTAACATGAATAAAAAAAATCCCAACCTCCATATATTCATTAGCCAGTCATTATTTTAGTATGTCAGCCATCATTGCTTAAGAGCAAACTTGCATTAAAAATAGTTTTAGTCAATTTTCTCTCCTTAGTTTAAAGCAAACATAGAATCCATTACTTAAATATTTATTCTACCACCCAATAGCTCGACCAAATGTTTTACCTGAAACTTTTCAGCTTGAATTTTTTAAGAGTTTACTCTTATATGTTTCATAGCAAACTTGCATATTTCTTAGATATTTGGTGCATTGTATGTGCGTGCTGGTGTAAGTCTGTGTGAGAAAGGGAATAATAATATCGTCAGTAGCTTAAAATTTTTGTATATCTAAAATACAGGGGGGGAACCTCCCACATTTTATTTATTTAATACAATAATGGCAGGTTTTCTGTATGATACAGCCTTCTCATAAGCTTTCCTCTCACAAAGCAGAAGTGAAATTTCAGTACGGTTCATAGCTAGAGATCCCATTTTATAAAACTCTGTGATCAATTTTTGAAGTTTTTTTTAAAATGAGAAAAATACGGACACCGGAACAAAGTATGTGTACCAGGTTAGGGTTAGGCCATAATTTAAGGTGCAAATACTACAGGAGTCACTTGGTTAGCCCCAAACTCGTAATATAACTAAAATAAGGAAAATTGAAATAAAATTATGACTTATGATTAAAAATTTATTTGAGAAACGCCAGATTCTGAAATTATGACTTAGATTTCAAATTTAATATGTTTATATTGTTTATTTTATATTCTGATCAATCCAATGCTGAGTAATCTTTGTATGTGCCTAGTTATGTTGGAAATATATATTTTACTTGAATATTTGAACTGCTTATTGTATTTTAAAGCACTGAATCCTACTGGTACTTATGTTTACCCACCTCTCGAATTATGCCTTTCTAATAATATTAATATCCAATTCAATTAAAATTCTATATACAACTGTTTCTTATTCACATGCTTGGGATTTTAAAACTGCCAAACTGAAAATTTTATTGACATTACTTCAAAGTACCGATATCAAAAAAATTATGCAATAATTTTTTGTTGAAGAAAAAACGAGTTTCAGATCGAACTAGTAGTTTCTATTATCTAAATTTTTAGAATTTCTTTCGCTTTATCCACCTAATTAATTTATCATATTATTAAATTGCATTTAACGACTTCCCACACCATCAAATCTGCAAAAATAGCTGGTCAACTTTTTCAATACCTGACATGTACCGATAAACGAATGGGAGGACGCGGTTTTCCATATAATAAAGTCGTCTTATCAGCTTTCCTCTTCCAGGAATAAAGGGAAAAATTCCATCCTATTTTTTGTTCAAACGTTTTAAATTGTTTCTTCTTGATGTTCTGGGATAAATATGGAATTCTTTATTTTGATACTATTTTTTTACTCAGTGAATGCAAGATGCCTATGTGTGCAAAAAATCGAGTTTAAGCGTTTTAGAGGGTGGCAAAGAATAGTGTTTCAGTTAATACAGACAAATAGTAACTGTAACCCTACCTTTGGCCCACCTTGTTTTATAAATATATGCAAAGTTGTGGAAGTCAAATAGTGTTAACAGTGTTGCTTTGGTATTTCGTCTATTTACATTTCACTGTATATGTTTTGTCCTTGAAAAAACCTGGTAAATATTAGTGTTGTAAAAATCTGACTCCAGCTCTGAACACTAAGAATTTCAAATTTTTACAATGAAAATTTTCTGACGCCCAACTGTGTGTCTCAAAAAAATCTTGGATCAGACTTCGGCCTTGGGAAAGACTTTTTTTAGTAAATTGTTAAGAATGCTCACTAAACAAAATACTTATTAAGTTTTAGTAGCAAGTTTTGCCTTATTGTATTACCATCAAAAGTCAGCAATTTTGGCCACAGGGAAATTCAGAATTTGGATTTTGGGAACTTTGAATATGATTCTAACTTCAGTGAAAACTTGCTCCAGTCTCACAGCTCTGGTCAAAACCCTAATTCCTCCTTTTATTTATGTATATGTATCCTAGTTACCTTAATCTCCAATCACGAAATGCAAAAATTTTAAATTTATCTACGAATTCAGAGAAATTTGAGTTCTGACTGTGACCATGACTCTTGCCAATTGCCAATTTGGAGTGTCTTCCAAAATAAGGCTCTCCAACCTTATAACCTCCTGCCTTTGGATATAATATTTGAGATGTATTACTTCTTTTGCTTGCAACTCAAAATTTATCTGACTACGACCGACAAAAAATTTGAAAAATATTTTTCAAGTCATGTGTAAAAAACTTGACTTCAACCAAATTCCGTTCCAAATATCCAAACACATGAATAGATTTTGACTTACTTGCAAGCCGTATTCAAGCCTTTTCTGTGATAAGACATTTGACTACAACAAACATAAAATATTGACCTATGTCTGCCCAGTTTACACCAGTCTCAAAAAAGATCTCGAAGAATTGTCACTTTCTTTAAACAATGTATATATTAGTATTAAATAAATATCACACATCGGGATTTAGAATATAGTTTTTGATAATTTGTAAAATTATTTTAGCATGTTAAGCTAATATGCGTACATAATATGAGAACATAAATTGTAGCCAGCCTTTATGTACTATAAAGTTTGATTTTCTTGTAGTTTGGATATGATTATTATGAGTTATAATGCCCTTTCTTTACTTTCAGAATGTTGTTAGAATTTATTGATGTTTCAATTTTTAAAAGTTATGTGTGCATATTTTCCTGGGTGCATATTTTTTTTGCATTGGTGAATTTTTCACGCTTCAGTAATGTTTCGTTGCTTTGTAAATATTTTCATGCTTCAGTGAGTATTTTAATTTGAATGTCACATATTTCAAGACTTGTATATTGGTCTCTCTGATTCATTTTTTGTCAGTTGTTGCTCAGAACTTTTTTTTTTCTAAAAAAAATGATTTTTTTTTTGAATAAGAATTTTTCCCACACGAACATCTCTCTTTTCGTCAGAATAAACTATACCGAAGAATGATGCCAAATGATTAAATTGCGCACTCCTATACATTGAATGTTTTTATACATAAATAGCTAATGCCATATGACAAAAATTTAAAAAAAATCTAAAATAGTAGAACTTAAAAAAATTAAGTCTATTATAATTGCTCAGAGTTTTACACTCAATCTTTTTGTTTTCAATATCTCTTGTTCTTTTTTGGTATTTCTGTTTTACATTGTACAGTTTTGCAGTTACATACAGTTTTACATTGTACATAGTTTTGCGTTTACATTTTTTGTTATGCATGTTAGCATCGTGAATGTTATCTGTGAATGTTGTCTGCTGTTCCAGAAGAAATTGTTAGTAATCACTTATTTGAATTTCATACTCAGTCCCTTTTTGCCCTATTTTATTATTTTCGACCAACAGACATATTACATATCCCTTGCAATTCTGTGTGACTTGAAAACTTTACATAGCAAAGTCATATTTATTCTACCAGTTGTTTATCTTTGATTTCACCTTTTAACAAGATTTTGAATATACTGTAGAAATAGCAATACATCAATTCACATGCTCTATGATTGATAAGTGTACATAGCTTCATACAGAGCCAACTATAAAAAACCTAAAAAAAAATTTTTTTGCTTATGTGTGATCATTATGACATTAATATGGCATATGTATTTCAGATTTACCCACTGTAATTTTTCAATAAAGGCATCGCCCTACAAATTGAAATAATTATGCAATCTATAGTTCCAAGGATCAAGTATGAAATATAAGGTTCGTTAAGAGTAAAACCAAAATCCTCACATATTTAAAATTTACCATTTTTCAGTTTAAGAGACCGTATCACAGTTCAACACCCCATTTAGCCCCGTCTTTTGAGCTAATAATACCGTGTTGTATATAACGACGGCCTTAACTATTGCGTTACCCTATAAGGATTATGATTGGACATTAAGATCTGTATTAAAAAAAGAATTCGCCTTACATTTTATCATCATTTATTAATTACGAAATCATGATTGAAGCTGATTGAATTTACAAGCCCCGAATGTTCAAAACAAACATAACACCTATACCTGCTTGTAGTTTATAATAGTTAAATAGAAATATCGTCCACCCATTAAGGTGACGACCCTGCTTGTATATATGTTTTTTATTCTTTTCACCTAGAAGTTGATTCCTATTCGGTCATTCACATAATTTTCTTTCTACATGATTCACATTTATGATTATTTTTTTCGTTTATTGAATGATCTAGACTCTAGTCTAGATCATTGAATATGCCACGCAATCAAAGACAAGATTCATCCTCTAGATTCTAGAGGATGAATCTTGTCTTTGATTGCGTGGCATATTCAATTGTACATGTTCAGCATGATTACTATTAATACTAGGGATTAAACCGTGTGCTTCGAATTACGTGAGGTCTCGTGTCCAAGTAGTAAGATATGTCAAGAAGGAGAATAGGTTACCAAATACTGCAGTTATTCCAGGATGTTACCAATTTCCATGGGCCGGAATATTGTTGAAATTCATCGCAAATTGAGTGAAATGGGCGGCACGGGGTGACCCGAATCTAATCATCAAGGTAGAGCAATAAATGGCTTTGTCGAACAACTCCGTCGATCTGCATTACTAAGTCAGCTCAGGAATGGATAAGCATCTGGTGCAAAATACCTGATTAACTAAACCGCCACCTTATGGGCTTTCCACTTCCCGCGGTAAATATAAAAATCCTATCCTATAACAAGTTAACGTCCCAGATGCATGGGCTTGGAAAAACGACTGCGGAGCGCGATTCTTTGGTTACGAAGTTCTGGCTCCCGTGAATCAAAGTTGTTACAGCAGTATTTTTAAGAGCAGTGGGGATTGAATTTTGATTGATTGATTTTTTTTTGTGGTCTAAGACTCTAGGTGAATTCCTCAATTTTTTTTTTATTGAAGCCAAATTTTCATCAGATGATGCAATATTTCAATCATCATCTGTATTTCATTCGAATTTTTCTCAGTAAGAACTAGAATACTAGATCATTGCATCATTCGTGGTTTTCCAAGAGTTTTAAAATAGCCACGGACATTAGAGTAAATGTTGCGGCTCCGAGTAAATTCGAGTTTGATGGAAAAGATACCAAATGGCTCTTCCAATGCTAAAGGTTGCCGACCCATGTGTTAGGGGATGTTAGAGTGTTCTAACACAGGCACTGGGCAGCTCCGTGCTCCGTTATGCACAGGCGGGACTTCATTCACTGAATTCATTTTGAAATCTTAATTTCGTTCAAACTTTTCCGCTTGGATTCTCATTTAATAAGTTGCGAGACATGATTTCAAAAATGGAGATTTCTCAATTCAAAATTTATGTCCGCCATTCGTAATTTTATGAATAAACAAAAACAACGACTCATTTGAGGTTTCGGGGACGTAATCGAATCACGTGATTTCATTCATCAACCAATCAGTTACTGTCAACAAGACAACCCTTTTATCGGCTTTTTCTTTATTATAATTGTTTTTTTTCTTCTAATCGGGACACGTGGACGTGATTGGCGTCGGATGAAGCGCATTTGAATCGCACGTGGCGAAGGTGCGGCTGCAGGTCAGATTTCAGGTTTTAGCTAGCGCTAGTGTAAAGTAAAACAGTTCTGGAAGCGAAAGTTTAGGGGAGTCATAAGTATATACATATGTGTGTCAACCCAATGTACAGAGTGGGCCAAAAGTTGTTCTACAATTATTAAAAAGTGATTTTGACCCACGCTGTATCCTAGAATTGTTATTTAATGCTTTTTTCGTTATTTTGGTCAGGAAGCGAAAGTCTAGAAGGTTTAGATTATAGCCATTTTATATTCATAGGTGTGTGTGTATAAACTTAATATACAAGATGGGCCAATGTGGATTTTCTCGTTGCGTAATTTCTCAAGGGTCTAATTATGCATGAGGAAAAGATCGCATTGGTCTCCGATGCTGCTGCCAGCCCAAGAGAAATGATTTGCCACAATATGCCAATTCGGTGAGTTTTGTGAAAAAAAAAAAACAGGTGAGTGTTCGAGTACATCAAATTAAAAACAATTGTTTAAACAAATTGTTTAAAGTCATTTTTATAAGGATTTTTGATTCAGGCAAGGATTCAAAACAACCAATCTGTGGATTATATGAAATACAGATGCTGGAACCAGCCCAATAAAACTGATTTTCCACAATATGATATGATGCGCCTGTCTATTTGAGGTAAGATTTGTAAATATGCAAGGTGAGTGTCTTGAGTACATTCAAATTAAAAACAATCGTCGCTAGTAATTGAATAAAATAATTTGAATTATGTGTATTAGTCATACAACTTTAAAGCATCCAACTTGTGAAATTTATGAGATTGCAGATGCTGGAGCCAGCATAAAAGAAAAGATTTCCCGCAATATGATGCGCTTGTTAATTCTGTAAGATTTGTAATAATGCAAGCTGAGTCTTTCGAGTACATTAAGGAACAATTGCCACTAGAAATTGGTTAGGGTTAGGCCATAATTTCATTACGATTTTCCTTGTTTTGTTCTATCACGAGTTGTGTTACCGAAATGAATATACCCCCTGCCAATAGGTTTCGGTCCCTTTTCGCAACTTGATGTCAAGTAGGCGAACAAAATTAGTTACCTCCATTTCTGGTGCGCCAGTAATTGTAATCATTTAAATGTTTTTTTAGTCATATATACAAGTTCAAAGAAACTACCATGTGAAATTTATGTTACAGATGCTCCAACCAGCCCAAGAGAAATGATTTGCCACAATATGATAATTTGTGAAAATGCCAGGTGAGTGTCCCGAGTAGCCTACATTCAAAATATAAACAAATGTCGCCAGAAATTGATAATCATTTAAATAAAGACCTCTTCATTCAGAAAAGGATTCAAACCAAGCAATCTACAGAGTACATAAAGCATCATTTACACTGCTGCTAGAGTGTACATCGTAATGGAAATTAAGCAAGGTAAATAGTGGTCGATGGATTTCAGACAGATAATTATGATAGTTTAGATTTTATTATATTTTATGCTGATAGAGAAGTACTCCCGTTGTGTGTGTACCGGGTTAGGATTAGGCCATAATTTTATTCCGATTTTCCTTATTTTAGCTATGTTAAAGAGTCTGTGTTAACCAAGTAAATGTACCCCCTGCCCATAGGCTTCCGTCCCTTTACACAACTTCATCTAAAATAGGCGAACAAAATGAGTTACCTCCACATAAATACACATACTTCTGAAACGCCTATTTTAGTTCTATTAAGAGTTCTGGGGATTGTCCATGTTAGCCAACTGAATATATCCCCTGCCCATAGGAACGCCTATTTTAGTTCTATTAAGAGTTCTGGGGATTGTCCATGTTAGCCAACTGAATATATCCCCTGCCCATAGGTTTCAGTCCCTTTACACAACTTTATGTAAAGCAGGCGAACAAAATTAGTTCCTTCATATTGGTACAATAAAGATTGGTTGCCTTGAAATTCCTGTGGTGAGCTAAGCTTGATAAAATATCTTGCTATAATTTTTGTCAGAAATCACAACTGGTAAAAAGTAAGGGATATGAAATTAATGTTTCGAATGTCTGTATATACCGTCAAACTTCATCGGTTCAAAACTGCAAAAGATGCGTGACGTCATTTACGTTATAATTTATGACATTCATAATGATTTGACATTCTTTGGGTAAGTGTAGTTTTAAAAGCAACGGGTCATTACTGATAGAGAGTAGTCTTTCTCATTTTAAAAGAAAAAACTGAATTGCATAACGTCATTTGCGCTTTTGACGCAAAATAGTCAAAAATTATTTTGAAAAAATTGCAAATTTCTCTATCGTTAAATTTATATATATTACAGGCGTAGCGAACGAATATTCCAAATTGAACAACGGACGAAACCACGAATCTGCAAGAATGGTAATCTCGTTCAAAGGTAATAAATAACTTGACAGAGAATGGTTGTTAGGTACGATTGGGTTACTGATCTAGTTTTTCTCCTTTAAGACGAAATTACGGAACGCAGGTATCTCGGACGAATTTTCCGAATGGAGCGACGATAGTAGCCCCCGAATCGGCGTGAGTGATTATCTCATTCGTGCAGACATCTGAAGGTAAAAAGTGATGATAGGAATGTATTTCATTGCACCAACTAAACTATGTTAACTTTTGACAGATGACTCAAAGCGACTTTTAGTACGAACCCAGAATGCGTTCAGTGATTCACTCTTCGTTTCTGATACAGAATTGTACAGGAATAACACCTCAAATTATTACCGAGGGCTGAGATAGTTTTTTTTTTTTTTCAAGTATTTATGTATGTCTAACTGCTAGCAGAATACCGAGTGCGGCGGTATTTTTTTTTTTTTTCTCTAAAAAAGCATCTATGTAAAACAAGTATGAAATTGATGTCTAACTGCTTGCAGAAGATGGTTGTTAAATACGATTTCGCTGCGCTACTGCACTGTCTATCGAGACCTACAGCGCTGAATCCCATAATGGTTGTTTGTTTCAGGGGTACTCAAACTTTTGGTGTTGACTCTTATTTACGGATCCCAACAATAATTTCATAAAAACAAAAACACACATTGTTACTCATCGATTAATGGTCCTGAGTAAATCAAAATTACTTTATTCAATAAATGCATTAGCCGTTGTCAAATTTTATTAATGCCGTTATTGCTTCATTGGACAATTCATAAACTACCCAAGTCAGTGTTTTATTAAATAAACGAAATAGCTCGTGGAGCCCTGGGTCCCAGCGATTTCTCTACACCCCCTAAAATTTCAACCCCCTAATTTTGAGGTGTAATACCACATTTTAATTCCTAGATTGAAGTATAATTGTATTTGGAACTATAGTTTTATTCCAAATAGCAAAATACTTAACCACCCCCTCAATTTCGAAATTGCTTTTTTAAATTTTTGATAAGCAATAAAAATCCAATTGGTGGTCTCGTTTCTAAGGCATTCTGGGATCATCTCCTTCGGGATGAAAACAACACTTCTACGCAACTTCGTACTCACGAGTGAGTGAGTTTTTAGTGATATCTGAAAAATCGTATCGTGATGCAAGATATATTCATTATCAATTACACTTTGAATAATGTTCGATTCAATTTTGCACTCTAAATAGATTATATTTAAGTGAAATATATGCTCGTTTTATTGCACTAATCGTTATAGCTACTCGATGCTTGCCGGAAAATTATGTATCCACAAGCGATAGACGAATCACTGGATCGGTATAAATGGTAAAAAGTGGTAAATTGGTATAAAGTCTTTTTTTTTCGGGGTACCAGTTATGCGCAACTTCGTTTACGCCGCATTTTGAAAAGTCAAAACGAGTGAGTGAAGTTTCTGTATGATATCTGATAGTTCGCATGTGCATCGCGATGCGAGATATATTCCTTTTTATTATTAACACCGCCTAAAAATAAATTTTGGCATAACATTTTTTGATAGAATTCTTAGCAGAAATTGAAGTGCGAAATTCTAATGTATCTTACGGACTTTTTACGTTGATAACTAAAGTTCAAACTATTAACAGGTAATCCTACAATCCAGTTTTTTCCTCGAAGCGCAGAGATCGACAAGATCACCTAACTCAAAAAGCACGCTTATGCAAGTAGCTGCCGTTTGCCTCAAATTAAAATCAATTATTCGAGGTTATCTGGAGGCGCTGGCAAATGGAAAATAATAAATCTTCCCTCCAGTTAGATGGAATAGTAAAATTTTGCGACGTCGCTCATGTTTTTTTAAGACGCCTCTCGGAAAACTTAATCAAATATTAGTTTTTTTGAAGTCAACTTTAGATTATTCAGTTATATTTGTATTTTTGACTCGCTACTTTCTTTGCTCTGTCTAAGGCTCAGGGTATCACTCCCGCTGAAAAACTATTTTATGACCAAATGCTACAGTTGAAAAAAATATTTCTCGAAGCCCTTAACAAGTATATTCCCTATAATCTAGCAAACTTTCAATATCATGCTCTCTACTTAAAATAGCGTCAACTGTACAAACGAATGACAAAGGTATGGAATCTTAGTAAAATCCTATAATTGTGATTTAACTAATGTAATGAAGTTGACTACTGAGCTGAATAAACAATGCGAATACATCCTGGATGTACCCGTGCATAACTTACCCAAAATCTGTGCGAGTAAAAATTTCAATTCTTTCAAGTCGAGGGGCAGAATCAAAGCATTCAAGCACGCGATCAAAATTCTTTTAAACTCTTAAAGGTTGATCTATATCCACAATTTTGACAGCGCTTCTCGAGTACAAGCTTTTGAAAAGAACTGATAGCGACTACCAGTTCACAAATATTTTCACTCCTTCCGCCTCAAAATAATTTAAAATAAATAAGGGTTTTAAATGCAAAATTGACGTTGTAAAGCAATGCAGCTTTAGGTCAAATGATTTGTGCCATACTCGCGGTAATATACAGGAATGAAATAAGCTAAATAGTATAATTATTTTTCATAGATTTAACGGGATAATCAAATGTTGACCAAAAGTACTTCAAAGCAAATATCGATTTTAGTTTCGAATAAAAACTCATAACTCATAATCTTTTCGTCTTCGTAGTAGAGATGTACCGATACCACTTTTGTCGCCGATACCGATCCGATACCGATACCGATCCGATACCAGCTAAAAACGCCGATACCGATACACCGATACTACAAAAAGGCCGATATTACCGATATTCCGATACCGATACTATGTAATTATTACTTAATTAGGTGTGCTGTGTAGGGCATACGGGTTAAAACAATGGTATTTGAGCGTTGTTCACAGTACACATTATTTCAGATCGAAAAAAAGGTATATATATATCACATAATATGAAATTCATGTTTGGTGTTTGCTCCAACTGATTAAGATACATTGTACAGTAACGCTAGTAATCTCGGTGTTCAATTGAAACTCATAAGCCGGGATGTCCAATTTGAACTTAATATGAATATCGCGACCTTCGAATATCGTTATTCGAGTTTAAAAGAATATCGAATATCACCCACACATTCTAGCGCCGCCGTCCTACGTTCAAATTAAAAGCATTTTACAAATATTTTTTTTCGTGGCTAATCGTAATCGTCGACGCAATAAGTCAAAGCCAAATTGAAAGAATATCAATCAGCACCGACAAAAAGGCCTACCTATAACCGTCGAGGATGTTTTTTTACTTTACTATTTTATAATATAAAATATTTTACAATTGCTATCATAAATTTTGAATTTCGGAATTTAGTTAATCGATGTCGACGGATTAAATGACACTCGTACTTGACGACAAACAGTCAGCATTTATAGCCGTGCTAAAAGTCCTTGTGCCGTTAATAAGGACCCCAATTCCACTGTATGATTTAAAACTGGGCGCCTAGTTGCTTTTTGTTATGTGCTGTGTTGATATATTTCTTCATAATTACTATGTAATATTAAAAATGTCAATATAAAAAATTGACAGCGAAAATAGCCAAATTAGTTGCTGATAAATAGCTAAAAACACGTGAATCCTATTCTCTCGCGGGGGTGGGGACATGTATGTCTCATAGCTCACGATCTCTCCAGACAAGAAATAAATTAAAAAGTAGTATTCCAACTTATCTTTTAAAACATTCTGGACCATATCAAAAAGATAAATATATCGGAAATATCGGCCTTAGATTAACCGATACCGATACATGGCCGATACCGAAAAAATGGCCGATATTACCGATACCGGTACATCTCTACTTCGTAGTTAACCAAATTTTGATTTGTGCTATACTTCCAAATTAAATACATAGTGCCTTTGCTTAAAATACACCGATGACTACGTTTACACAGCTCTGGTTTTGACATGGCTCACCACTGTCGTTGCGTTAATTAGAGTGTAAGCCTGAAATACTAAGTTGAATTCTTGTATGTACCTGTGAGTTAAGTGTGTAATATCTATATTTCAGATGCTATAATCAACAGTGAGAAATGTAAAGGCAGGCGTGTCTCTAGTTAGTCCAAAGGGGCAGTCGCCCCAGGCAGCACGGTATTTATAAGGATGAGTTTGTTGTTTAGTTTCATTTAAATAATAATAATATTACAAACATTTTACTTTTAATTGACCTTTAAATTGATTTATTCTCATGTATAGCAACATCTGTAATTTGTTTATCCCCGAATCATTTTTGCAGTTAGGTATAAGGGGCAGTATTATCAGAAACTCGTCCCGGGCAGCAGCAGAAAAGTTTGACACGCCTCTTGCGCTATGCGACCAGCGGGTCAATTCCACTCTCTTAAAGGTATGTAAAATCGGTGTTGAATAAAAGTCCCTAAGTCTCACTTGTGTTTAGTAGTTCTTTAGAAGCCGAAAGTTGTATGGCGCGATCGGTTCGAAATAAAAATGTGAAGACCTGAACTGCAGTTTGCATTTGAATTAAAATCGGAAAAATGTTGAACGAAAACCCAATTGTTCATTTTATTATATTCAAACTTAATCAATTCCACAGCGTCGCACAATAGTTGTCTCACTATACCTATGTAGCGGGAGAATAACGAGAAACGTCACATTACTTAAATAAGCGTAGAGAAAATTTTAGTCTTAAAAATTGAATAATCGTTGCGTGGTTGTTTTTCATAACGTTTATATTCAAATATATTTGAATATGATTTTACAAATATCGTTTCATAATAGTCATTAATTAGTAAACGGCGACGTTAAATTATGCTGAAAAAGCTAAATAATTATAAATATAAGCTGAATAAAATAAAATGGTCTAGCGCCCTTTCGCCTGATAAGTTTTGACCCAATAATAAAACGACTGATTAAGATTATTTCGGCGCTGCGGAAGTATGGGCACCAAGATGGCGCACAATCTGAACCCTAACCTTGTTACACATACTATGTTCAGGATGTGCGCTACATATCTTGGTGCACATACTTCTGGGTACACCATTATTTCATGAGATAATTTGTAAGTAATTCCAATGAAAAACTTCTTATCCGTGATTATTATTGACTATATTCGCAAATTTTTAGAGCTTTCAGCTGCGTCGAAAATGACCACTTATCGAATCCATAACTGCATCGATACCAATTAAACCTCTTACCTTATTTTCAGGTTCTTCTTTACCTCCATACTTATGTGAAAGATGAAAACGAAGATAGACTTTCAACCAGACTAAAATTTAATATAAATTACTGAGTATTCTTATTAACATAATTATCGGGTGTTATAATTTTTTATATACCCTCTCCACTTCTTTATGTTATTAATGACAATGCAATCGAATTGATAAGTATACTGAACCACTTGAATATTGCACTGGAAAATCACCGTTAAAATATTTTTGCTGTCCAAGGCACCCCGGGGTTTTTAGTCCCTTGGGTTGGGCATATTCTTTAGTCCACTGATTCTCAACCTTTTTCTTTCGTGGCCTATTTTCGTCGCAACAAAAATCTGTGGCCAATTATCTTGTTTGTAAAGGTTATCTTACCTCGAGTCATGTTGGTGATTAGAATGAAAATTACCACTCCGCATGACACAATCGAAACAAACATTTTCATAAGGCATGTGAACCAGCAGTGGGCCATGGCTTACTGGTTAGGAACCAGTTTTCTAGTCTAAAACACCATTTAAAAACTCCACTTGTGGACAGTGTTAAAGGGACTCGATTCATTGACTCTGCTGGCTAAATTCACTCAATGAGAGTCTTCTTAATAATATAATGATCATAAATGCCGGTAAAACTTCGCTCAAAAGTAACAAGACGCTGTTTGACTGGCGGCACACGATTGATAGCTTAAATTGCACTTCCCGGTACT